CCTGCCCCCTGGCTTCTCACAATGTCTCAGCTGTCGCTCATCTCCCTCACTGTGTCAAGATTCACTGTTTTTCTCTCTTAGCAATCCGATGCCCCCATGAAAGCGCCATTGTCCATGCTGTCCACTGAGTCTCCTGGAGTGGAGTGCGTGCTTCATTAAAATTAGGAATGTTTGAGGCACCACTTTCTTTAAATATTTCTTTCTTATTCTCTCCTTCTGGAACTCCTCTCACACATGTTGACGTGCCTTAGGGTGTCCGCTAGTCTCTCAAGATCCACCCAGTCATCTTCATTTTAAAAATCTACTGCCCGCACTGGCTGTCTCAGGGGCCTGTCGTCACATCGCCTGGCTCTTCTGGCCTCCCCCTTTGACTGCCAAAGCCCTACCGGGAAATCTCCACTTCCGCTGGTCTTACTTTCCAAGTCACGAGTTTCTGTTTGATTCCTCCCATTTCCCCCCTCGTTGTATCCTCTGCTGTGTGGTCTGATCTAGAGGCCCCCTCCAGTGGGCACAGCCTCTGAGCTAGTCTGGGAGCATTTTCTAGCTGTTTCCTCCTGTGCCCAGCTCCTGCTTACTTCTTTGCAGGATACAGAACTTGCTGACCGTGGATAATAAGCACTAATGGCTGGTTCTGGGTTTCTGGGTCGCTCCCCACCCTGCTGCAGCCTGTTGCTGACATTTCCAGTGTATCCTTGTTATTTTTGCTTTACAGTTGTTTTTTTTTTTTTTTTTTCTGAAGTAGTCTCATCACATGTACTATGTATTGGAACTATTCTATTAAGGTGGTGCTCGGGCAGTGACTTGGCCAAGTTCCTTCAATGCCTGGTATCATGGTTTGGATTTTAAATGACCCCCAAAGACTTAAAAGCTAAGACTCAGTCCCCAGCTTGCAGCACTACTAGGGTGAGAAGGAACCCATTAGGGGACGGACTTGTTAGAAGGAACTTAAGGTCACTGAGGGTTTGCCTGTGAAGGGACCCTGGCCCTTTGCCCTTTCCTCTTGGTCTCAGATGAGCATCACCATGTTATACTTCTCTACCACAAAAGTGTGAGCCCAAACAATCTCTTCCTCCTTATATGTTGTCTACCTCAGGTATTTTGTCCCGGCCCCTAAGTTTTGTAGCTTTTGTGTGTTTACCCGTGGGGCTCCCCCTCAGCTTCCAGCTGGCAGTTTCCACCCTTCTCCCCTTCACTTCCTGTTGCACCTTTACTTCCTGTTTGCTCAGGGCTCAAAGCTCAGCCCCCAGTGATGCTCTCAGCATGTGCCTCTGTGGTCATGTTTGGGACCTTCTAGACTCCGGGGACTGTTTCAAAGCCCTAATTTCTCAAAGCATTTGGTTCCCAGCTTTCCTCAAACTCTTACCCAGGCATTCTTCTCTACCTCGGGCAACACTGATGGGTTGTTTACACTTGGATGCCTGACCGATGCCCTCCCTGTATTCAGCAAGTTCTGAAGTTGGAGAAACTGAGGCTGGCTCCTCAGGGAGCCTCAGACAGGTGAAGACAGTGCCTACATGTTCTAGTTTTCTTTCAGTTGCTGTGATAAAACCCTCTGACCAAGAGCATCTTAGGGAAAGGAATTATTTGACTTACACTTCCAGGTCACAGTCCATCACTGAAGGAAGTCAGGCCAGGAACTCAAGCAGGAACTTGAAGTGGAAAACATGGAGGAACATAGCCTACTCATGCTTAGCTACCTTTATTTATTTATTTTTGAGATTATAATAATATAGTTACATCATTTTCCTCTTCCCCTTCCTCACTCTAACCCCTTTCATATACCTTTTTGCTCTCATTCAAACCCATGATCTCTTTTTCTGTAATTGTTGTTACACACACACACACATTTGTCATCTATCTATCTATCTATCTATCTATCTATCTATCTACCTACCTACCTATCCCTGAATATACAACCTGCTCATTTCACATAATGCTATTTGTGTATATATATATACACATATATGCTTTTAGGGCTGACCATTTGGTATTGGATAACCAATTGGTGTGTTCTTCCCTGGGGAAGACATTTTTCCTACTCACAGTTTTCCTTAGTTGCCTGTAGTTCTTTGCGTAGGATCAAGGTCACTTTAGCACATCTACTGGTTTTGTCCTTGTTCAGCTCACATTTAGGCAGCCATGTTAGTGAGACTTCAGGGGTGCAGCTTCTATGGCATTTCTAGATTCACAGTAAATTTCCTGTTCCTCTCTCTGGCTCTTATAGTCTTTCTACTCACTCTTCTGAAATCATCCCTGAGCTGTAGGTGGAGGAGTATGTTATAGATGCATCAGTAGGGACTGGGCTCCACAACTCTGCATTTTGATCTGTTTCCTGTTATTGTCTGTTGCAAGAAGTTTCCTTGATGAGGGATAAGAACTACAAGTATCTGTGGGCATAAGGATAAACATTTGGAATGTAGTTAGGGATTATGCTGGTTTACACTTCACTAGCCCTGGGTATTTGGCTAGGTTTCCAGTACCAGGCATGATTTTCCTCTTGTTGAGTGAGTAACTAGCTCTCTTATACAGCCAGAACTACCTGTCCAGGGAATGGTGCCACCTACAGTGGGCCCTTCTACATCAACTAACACTCAAGATTATCTCCCACAGACATGTCCACAGCCGAATATAATCTGGGCAATCCCTCCTTTGAGACTCCTTTCTCAGATGATTCTAGACTGTGTCAAGTTGACAGTAAAGCTTCCTCAGAAACATGTCCACTAGACATGTTCCTAGACACCAGTCCCACATAGGGACTGCACCTGCTGCCAGCCAGGACTGGGCCCAGTAGGGCGGGGTTGAGAGGTGGCAGTCACAGAGCTCCCCCAGCTGTGCTGTGGTGTTTCTATGCTTCAGTGTCCTGTGTATTGATGGCCGTGACAGAAGAGCAGCAGGTGGCAATTGAAGTTCAAAGTGCCAGCCCACCAGGAGGTGAATCCCTGATGGGTGAATCTTGGATAGACAAGACCCAGAGACCACAGACTCCAGAATGTCTTTTGCTTCTGGTGTTCCTTTACATGCTTGCCGCTGCCATCTTTCTCTGGTATCTGGCATGGTGTGAATGGGTGTGGGGAGATCCCCACTGCCTGTAAGGTAGTGTGTTTATCTCATGGATACATCCTGTTCTACTGGGCATTTTTACCTGTGGACTATTGTGAAGATGATTTCTTCTTAAACTATACTGTCTAATTGATAATAATAATGTCAGTTTAAGTAGAGTTTTGATGATTAAAAATAAATATAAGGAAGTGTCACACAGCTAGGGCACATGAGTTTCACCTCAGGAGCTGCATAGATCACAGTTCAGGTTAAGGAAAACAGTGGAGTCCACAGGAGCCAGGCTGGCTAGAATTCTTTTACTCTTAATCTTGAAAGATGCATTCACAGGTTTCAGTGTGCATCATAGCTGAAACAAAGCCTTAAAATAACTTCAGGTTAGATCAGATGTTTTGATAATAGCCTTGAGATGAAAACCCTAGAAAACAATCTGAAGTTCACAAGGACACATAGCTATAGATTCTTTAGGTAAGGGTCAAAAATACAAAGCAGCTCAGTCATTACTAGTTGATGTACTTTCCCTGATAGGATTGGTTGGTGATCAATTCCTTGTACCCATTTTTGTCCTCAATCTCCTGATATAAAAAACTATTGATGAATGGGTATACACCCTAAAGATTTAAGGTAGAGCTAACTGATTGTTTTAAAAGTTAAAACAATGTATGTGGGTTCTTGGGATGACTTTGTTTTACTCATGTAAGGGAGATGAAAAACATGTTTTTATATGTATTCATTATAATCATTCACTTGAAAAATAGATGTAACCACATTGTAATTTCTATATTGACTGAAAGATTTTGTTGGGGTATATAGTTGTAGAAGAAAAGTAAAGAGATAGAATACAGAATCAGAATACAAAAGGAGAATCAGAATACAAAAGAAGAATAAAGAAAATGTCTGAAGAAAACCATCAAGAGTGTGTGAGTGTCTTTTCCTTTACCTCCTCAGATAAAAATGTCATAGTGCACCAACTCCATGAATTCCCTTCAAGCCCTGCACTGCTGAGGCTGGTCCCCCAGGCAGCAGAACATGGAGGCACCTGGCACCTGGCAAAGGCCACCATGGGACACTGTCTTCCTTGTCACATGACTCCAGGGTAATATGTCCATGATGAGGTGGCCTCCACTGCCCCTGCTGCTAAGTGGACTCAAGAATCTCTGTAGAGACACTGCCTTCCTCTCCCTGACCAGTTCGTTCCCTTTGCTCTGCCCTTGCACTTCCAGGAGACAATTATTTTTTGTTTTGTTTCTTGTTTTTTGTTTTTTTGAGACAGGGTTTCTCTGTGTAGCTTTGGAGCCTGTCTGGGAACTCCCTCGATAGACCATACTGGCCTCAAACTCAGACAGGCACCTGCCTCTACCTCCTGAGTGCTGGGATTAAAAGCATGTGCCACCATGCCTGGCTCTAGGAAACAATTCTTAAATGTTCCTTAGTAATGGTGAGGCCACATTTGCCCACATTTGGACATCATGTCCTTCTGTCTCCTGTGGGCACATTCCCTTACCACTCTGGGTTGCTGTGGCCACTCTGGGCTTATGGCCATCCCCATCCCATTGTACACCATGCCTCAGCCTCCATCCATAAGTGGGCAGCCAGAGGCATTCTGGTGCTCACTCAGCCTCCCCAAGCACATGCATGGGCAGGAAGACAGGATGCCCACACTTCCCCACAGTGGACCCTCTGGGTGCTAGGCCAGAGGCCAGAGTCCTTCGGTCTTCACCACACACAATGGTGGACATGGGCAGTGGGGTGGGGTGCTTTATTCAGAGCCCAAGTGCTGCTCAGAGGGGGGACCAGTGTGCAGAATTTCTACTGCCCAGAAGATCTAGAAGTGGCCAGCAGCAGAGCACAGAATGAGGGGGCAGGAATTCCAGATCATATTTGATGACCCCCACTCCTCACAGATGCTGATACAGAGAGAGTGGATGGGCACAGGTCCAGAGTCAGGTGCAGGCCTCACAGAGCCAGGTGCAAAGCCCAGAGCCAGATGCATAGTCAAAGGGCAGGTGCAGGCCTAGCAGCCAGAGGCAGAGCCCAGAGCCAGATACAGAGCCCAGGAGCCAGGTGCAGAGCCCAGTGCCAGATGCAGGCCCCAGGGACAGGTGCAGAGCCCAGAGCCAGATGCAGGCCCAGAAGCCAAATACAGAGCCCAGGAGCCAAGTGCGAAGCCCAAAGCCAGGTGCATAGCTCAGGGGTAGGTACAGGCCCAGGAGTGGGGTGAAGGCCCCGGAGCCAGGTGCAGAGCCCAAAGCTAGATGCAGAGCTCAGTGCCAGGTGCAGGCCCCAGAGCCAGGTGCAAAGCACAGAGCCAGGTGCCGGCCCCAGAGCCAGGTGCAAAGCACAGAGCCAGGTGCAAAGCACAGAGCCAGGTTCAGGCCCAGAGCCAGGTGCAGGCCCCAGGTCCAGGTGCAGGCCCCAGAGCCAGGTGCAGGCCCCAGGGCCAGGTGCAGGCCCCAGGGCCAGGTGCAGGCCCCAGGGCCACTTTTCTGTATGACAGTTACTACAGAGATGGAATGGGACAGAAGAGGTTTTATTGGTGCTCAGAGGCCAAGAGTAACACAGCACATAGCAGGGTCAAGCCAGCCAGAGTGGGAGTGGGTGAGGTGGAGCAGCCAGCACTTCCAGGAGCTGAGGCAGGAGAGTAGCTGGGAGACACTCAGGCTCCAGACCTGGCTGGACTGGTGGAGGAAGGGTAAGGACGGGTGGGCCCACAATACCCAGCAGGACCATGGGTCAGGGCAGACAGGTGGCAATCAGGCTCACAGCTAGACAGTCAGCAGCATGAAGGGGAAGCCCCGCAGCAGACAGGCTCACAGCAGACAGGCTTGCAGCAGACAGGCACACAGCAGGATGGCTGGCAGCCGGAGCAGATGGAGACACAGCAGACCGGCTTGCAGCAGACAGGCACACAGCAGGACGGTTGGCAGGGGGAGCAGGTGCAGCAAGCGGGCTGGCAGCTAGACTGCTGGCAGCATGAGGGTGTGCAGCAGCTGCTGCAGGAAGATTGGCAGCAGGGGCTGGATGCACAGTTCACTGGGGTACAGACAAGAGTAATGCAGGGGGCTGGGGCACAGCAGCTGGGCTGGCAGCAGCTGGGGGCACAGCAGCTGGGGGCACAGCAGGTAGGCTCACAGCAGCTCTCTGGGCAGTCGTCCACCTGCCAGGAGGAGTTAGTACAAGCGTCGGAGCAGACAGACATGGTGGAGGCAGCCATGGCGGGGTTGGCTGGGAGCTGGGAGCTGGGAGTGTGTTGAGTGACTGTGTGAGTGTTGAGTGAGTGTGTGTGAGGTGCTCTGGGCTCTGGGCTTTTATCCCCCAGGCGTGTTTTGCTGCAGGAGGCTCTGGGCCCTTCCTCTTCCTTGTTGTTCAGTCTGGAGGGTGCTCTGCGGAGCTCAGTCATAAACTGTTGTGCTGATCACTCTGCTTGGGCCTGTGGCTGTTGGGATCCCTGAAACACTGTCTGTACTCTCTACCTGGTGGCCACCTGTCAGGATTTTGGAGATGACTCTTGGCTCTGAGGATGCATTCTATGTCCCCAACCTCTGACCTCAGTATGGTGACCTGACTGGTCTGTGACTAGGAAAGAGGAGGCAGACATCCTGATTTGGAGCAGACAGGGAGGACGTCCAATGAAGTCTCCATGGTGCAAGGATGGGTCAGTTTTAAGCAGCCAGCCAAGGGCCTCTTGGGAATGAAGATGGTCACTGAATTGGGCTCCTAGGCATTTAGAGACCACACTGAGTCTGACCAAGCCATAAGCCAATGTCCTCCTGGAGCACAGGGTCACTTGTCCTGGGTCAAAACCTGAGGCTGGGGTGAACATACAGGCTGCAGGAGGCAGGCACGGACTAAGGTCACATGGAGTTCACTTATCATCCTGGATGGCCTGTGCCAGGGAGGTTAGCAGGGGAGAGCTGGCCCTGATCCCAGATGCCCATCTCAGGCATACCTCTCCTGCATCCCAGTGTCCTCTCGCCCTCTCTTGTCAGGTGCAGAGTAGCCCTGTGGGCAGGAAGACAGTGTGCAGACCTCACACAGCTGAGTCTCTCACAGAACGGAGGCCTCTTTAGAGTTCTCGGCGGATGTGAGGGAAGGGGTGAGCAAGGCCATTGTCATCAGAATTTCCCATGCTGTTCTGGGGTCCAGTGAAGTGACAAACCAAGAATCCAGATGCTAACAAGCATGTCTGGTGTCTGTGGGTGAGGGGACCCTCCACTAACAGCTGAGTTGCCTGTCCGAGGAACTGTTCGGCCCTCGTTCACAGGGGGCCAGGTGAAGAGAGATTCTGAGCACCCAGTAGCCCTCCAGGGCACCTGTTGGCTCATGGTGAGGTCAGAGGGAAGCAGAAGCCACCAGTATAAAACATCCATGAGACTCCGAGACAGTGCCAGAGCTGTGCACAGAGCTCTAGACCCTCATCAGAGAACGTGCTCGTTCCCCGAGGAACTCAGGACACGATGTCCCTGGGGCATAGGCCTTCTGCAGTTTTTATTTGTCTTAGGTCATTGGGTTTTTCTGCACACTCAATGCATTCCATGCCCCATAACTGTTAGCCATAACCCTCTGTGGCCACCACAGGTGACACCACAGACTCAGTTCACTGTGAGACTGTCCCCAGGAGTGTGAGCAAGGGGACAGCAGCCATAGGGAGCCAGCAGCATTTGTCCTCAGTGGGACACAGGAAGCTTGGTGCCATGACCTGAGAGCAGGACATCACAGTGCACAGACTTGAATGACAGATTCAGTGAGCTCAGAAAAACAGTCCTTACCACGGTGAGGACAGGGACAGGGATGGTGCATGGAATGCCCTGGGAACCTGCTGTGTGCCTGGCAGCATTCTCAGCACGTCCTGTCTGTCATGGTTTGAGTGTGAAATGTCTCCATGAGGCTCACCGTGTGCTTGAACACTTGACCCACAGTTGGTTGTGTTGTTTGAACACAGGGCCTAGCTGGTGGTCGAAGGTCACAGTGGGGGTGGGGGAGGGGTGGGGGAGTAGCTTGGGGGACCACAGGCTGACTGTCCTGGCTGCAGTTTCTGCCCCTTGATCCCTAAGATGTGAAATGCACAGTCGTGTGCTTCTCCTGCCGGGACTCAGTGTACCCTCTCGAGCCGTGAGCCCAGATAGGTCCATCCTCCTTGAGTTGGGCATTCCCTCATGATTGTGAGAAAAGAGCCCCATAGAAAACCAGACTGGGGTGGCACTGTTGTGGTGGTGCATCTGACCGTGTGGTCAGGCCTTTGGACAGGGGCATGGGAGGAATGTAGGAGAGTCCTGGACTATTGTGAACCGGAGCTTAATGGACCACTCTGGTGGCGGTTCACGTGATCAGAGGTCAGTGCAGACTGTGAAGACCTGACTCTCAAGACTTCAAATAGGGCTCCCCTGAGACCTGGGCTCAAGGCCATTCAGGATTACAGCCTGTCAAAGAAGCTGGCTACATTCTGCCCGTGTCTCAGACTGTTGAATGGGACTAAGTTAGAAACGAATGGACTAATTCTTCCGATGGAGGGAATTTTAAAGATAGCCTAGCATCGGGCCTGTGGCATGGTTGATGCTCACCGCCTTTCTCCAGGTTTATAGTGAGAGTTCTGAGCAGAAAGCAGAGCAGGGAGATGTGGAGAATACACAGTTCGGTGGGGAAAGGTGTGGGAGAGATTTGAAGTCTCCAACAAAGCAGCTGTCGCTGTAGCCGGTGCCAACAGAAGCGAGTGGCAACTGCTGAAGAGATCAGTGCAAATAAGGAAAGACTCTGCATGGTGAACTGCGGCAATAGACCCGAGGCCCCGAGAGTGAGAGTGTGTCCACCCTAGGGCAGCTTGCTCCAACAAGACCCTCTAGATTCCCCTGACACAGGTACAAGAGACTGCTTGGGCTGTGGGGAAAGAGGGCCAGGCTAGGTCTGGAGCCGAGAACACAACCTGCTGTCACCGTCCGTGTAGTACTGTGACTTTAGGCATGCAGAGTACGAGGGTTGTGATGTCATGGAGCATGTGCCGAGGTTCCAGGCAGCCTCTGAGGGCAGGCACTGTGTGGAAGGCCAGAGTCCCTCCATGAGCTTGTTTGGCCTGTGCAGGAAGCTGCAAAGGTTGAGCCTAAGTAGTAATGGGGGCCTAGAGAAGTCCTAGACTACTGTAATGGGGGCCTAGAGAAGTCCTAGAATACTGTAATGGGGGCCTAGAGAAGTCCTAGACTACTGTAATGGAGGCCTAGAGAAGTCCTAGAATATTGTAACAGGGACCTAGAGAAGTCCTAGACTACTGTAATGGGGACCTAGAGAAGTCCTAGACTACTGTAATGGGGACCTAGAGAAGTCCTAGAATACTGTAATGGGGACCTAGAGAAGTCCTAGAATACTGTAATGGGGGCCTAGAGAAGTCCTAGACTACTGTAATGGGGGCCTAGAGAAGTCCTAGAATACTGTAATGGGGGCCTAGAGAAGTCCTAGAATACTGTAATGGGGACCTAGAGAAGTCCTAGAATATTGTAACAGGGACCTAGAGAAGTCCTAGACTACTGTAATGGGGGCCTAGAGAAGTCCTAGACTACTGTAATGGGGGCCTAGAGAAGTCCTAGAATACTGTAATGGGGGCCTAGAGAAGTCCTAGACTACTGTAATGGGGGCCTAGAGAAGTCCTAGAATACTGTAATGGGGACCCCGGCATGTGGGAGATGCCAGGAAGCCTGAAATCTGCTGAGGAAAGCTGCAGGCACGGGGTGGGACTCTTCAAAGAAAGAGATGTGTGCCGCAGGCAGTAGAGCCGTGGTCAAGGCTGCTCATGGCACTGGGGCCCCTGACAATGACGCCATGAGGCTGCAATCCTTGACTCAGGGCCGAAGGGGTGTGCCCTGGCGGGTTCTGCTTTTGGTGGTCTTTGTCTCTATTCCTCCTGCTCAGATTGGGAATATGACCACGTTGGCCAATGCGAGCAGGGTTTGACTTTTACAGGGGCTCGTAGTTAAACGACTGTCTTGTGTTTCAAAAGGGATTTTTGGACTTTTAAGTGTTGAGATTGTTGAGGGACTATGGAGAGGTTTGAATTTGTACTCAATGGGTTTTGCTCTGAGGGACGGCCATTAGCTAACAGGGACCGGAGTGGGATGTCACTGACTGGAATGTCCTTCTTAGGCCCCCGTGTTCGAATATTTGATACCCAGCCGGCAGTGGTGCTGTTTTGGGAAAGTTGTGAAACCCACTGGATACAGGATCTAGCGGGCAGATGTAGGATGGCAGGGGTGAGGCTTGAGGGTTCTGCAGGGGTGAGGCTTGAGGGTTCCAGCTAGACTCTGCTTTGGTCCTGAGCTCTGTGCTTCCTGGTGAGGAGGCATGAGGAGACATGAGGAGCCTGTGCCCATGTCCTTGCTGTTGTGAGTACCACCTTGTTTTATCCACCATGATGACTGAAGCCCTCTCCAATGAGAAGCCAGAGTAAATCCTTAGGTTGTTATCACTAGGATAAAAGTAACTAATTCAATATCTACCCACTGTCATATCACCTAGATTAACTTCTATTTAGACAGATAAGGAGAGCCTGGCACAAAGAGGTTAAACAGCTTTTTCCTTGGTGCCCAGTAAGACAAACTATGATTCCCCACATTCCAAAACAGAAGACGGGAAGTATGCAAGGAAATGTAACCTCGAGCAGCTGGGTTTAAAATTCCCCTTGGAGGCAGGGAAGAACAAATTATCACCACAGAGCTTCCACACAATGACTTTAAGGACAAACATAGCAAGTTCCTCCAGACACAGAAGGAAAAAGATAATAAACAGAGTGGATACCTCACTGAGACCAAGCATGCCAATTCAGTCACAAGGGAGAGAGAAATCACAGTCAGAACAAAAACAAACAACAAGAAATGAGGTGACGTGAACGAGGACAGCCCCCATAGACTCATATGTTTGAATGTTTGGCCCCCAGATGGTAGACTGTTTGGGAAGGATGAGGGGGTGTGGTCTTGTTGGAAGAGGGTGCTACTGGGTGGGCTCTGGGATTTCAAAAGCCCACATCATTCTCCATTAGCTCTCTCTGTCTCATGCTTCTGGATCATGATATCAGCTACTGCTCCAGGGCCATGTCTGCCTGCCTGCTGCCATGCTCCCCTCCATGATGGTCGTGGACTTAACCATCTGGAACTGTGAGCTCCTGAATTAGATGCTTCTTTTATAAGTTGTCTTGGTCATGGTATTTTGCCAGGGCCGTAGAAAAGTAACTAAGACAAGAAATAATGGTTATGGAGCTGGAGGGATGGCTCAGGGTTTAAGAGCACTCACTGGCTGCTGTTCCAGAGGCCTGAGTTCAGTTCCCAACACTGCCATCAGCTTACACTGGCCTGTAACTCCACCTCCAAAGGATCCAACACTCTGTTCTGGACTATACTCATGTGCATAACCCCCACCCCCCACAGCATGTACACTTACAATGAAAATAATATTCTTTTAGGAAAGAAAAGAATTGGGGGACACTTAGCTGGGTGCTTAGGAGCTGAATGTCAGTGGAACGGATGAGTGAGTGCGAGCACTGGCCTCTGGAGGACTCCAGGGCCACAGGTCACAGAGGTGTCTGCACAGCAGTGTGTTCTAGACTGTTCTTCATAGCCCAGATGCCCATCAACAGGAATGGACAAAGAGAGGGTTCGAGTGTGCACAGCCCGAACTTTATCCAGGCACAAAGAGCAAAGTCGGGTTGTTTTTAAGGAAACGGCCGACCCTGGGAACAATCACATCAGCGAACCCAGCCAGTTCTCCGAAAGACAAATGTCGTAGATTTCATCCCATTAGAAGTCCCTAGATTTTATATGGTTACAGAAAATCGTGTACACATGGATTAAATGCAAACGAAATCAATGGTCTATGATAGTGGTTCTCAACCTGTGGGTTGTGACCCCCCCAGGGGGTTGAACCACCCTTCCATAGGGGTTGCCGAAGACCATTGGAAAACACAGATTTTACATTACAATTCACAACAGTAGCAAAATTACAATTATGAATACAAACTCTTTTGTTTATGAAAACAAAATTAGTTTTGTGGTTGGGAGTCACCACAACATGAGGTGTGTTAAAGGGTCACAGCATTAGGAAGACTGAGAATCACTGGTCTAGGGGAACAAAGGGGATTGATTGGAGGGAGAGGAGGGAAAAGTGAGGTGAAGGAAGGTGGTAATTGTACATATTCGATGTACAATATGTTCCTATAAGAAAACATGAACATAAAAGCTGGTCTGAGTGTCCACACTGGATGGGTGTTGGGGAGGTTTTTGATCATCAGCCAGAAAACCCTGTGTTCAGCAGTCTTGAGCTCTGGGCTGAGTCCAAGCTGTCGGTGACCCTCCCCCAATCCTAGTGTGTGGGTGTGATGGGGTGATCAAGCCAGCAAGGTGGAACCTCACGATGGGGTTGGTGACTCCAGTCACACTGTAGCCCCCTTCCATGCTGGAATGTGGTCTGTGGCCAGGAATGGTGCTCCACCCAGGACCCCAAACATACCCCACGTGACTGACTGCCCCTCAGTTGACTTCCAGCCCCCAACACTGGGAAGAATCCATGTTTATGATCTAAGGCCCCAAGTGGCAGCTGTTTGCGTGGCCTGGACTAAAGGGGCAGAGGCAAAGCCAGCATGTAGGTTCCAGTGTTGGGCTAGTGGGGCACAGGGGCGGGGAACATGACCTAAGTCTCAATTAGCAGTGATATTGAGTATAAGTGTGCAGTTCAAATCGATTACTTAATGTGGCATTAATCGCTATTGGCAATGGTGGGCTCTAACACTTCATCCACTGCTCATGTGATAGTAACTAACCACATACAACTAGGGGACATTAGAAATATGGCCGGTTCAACCCAGTGACGTGACTGCATCCTACATATACGATGTCAGCATGTTTTCTGTTCCTATAATGAAATACCCAAGGCCAGGTGCTAATGAGGAGATTTATATATAGTTCATGGCTCTGGAGGCTGAGAGCCCGGTGGCACGGCCCCAGTTCTGTGTCATGGTCCCTCATCAAGTGTGTCATACTGTGGTGGATGGCGGCCTGGAAGGAGGTCACATGGGGGGAGGGAATCTCTGAGGTAAAAAGGAGTTAGTTCTGACCATCATCACACCCCACTTCTCTGTGCCACCTCACCGAGGACCAGGCTTCCAAGACAGACTCTGGGGACACCCCTCAGCCACATCCAAACATCCCTAGTGGAAAGTCTAGTTATGCATTTCCAGTTTCAACCTGGCACAGTGAAGTTTGCCCAGGTGGGCTGTATCTGCTGGATAGCACTGTTAGAGCGTGTCAGGTACCCAGGTGAACAAGGGCAGAGTGTTAACGAAGGCAGGGGAGCCAAGCCAGCCTGTCTCACTCAGGAACTCTACAAACTCATCCTTTCACCCTCTGCGCCAACAGCTAAAAAGTAAATATGAACTCATGGCTCAGAGCAAAGCCTGCAGCCAAGTGACCATGTCCCACACAAACTCACACAGTCAGAATAGGTGACGGCTTCCGGGATGCTGCATAAGCATGGGGCCTCCCTGACTGTGGCTGCATCTAGAAATGTGGGTCCAGCACCCCAAACACCACAAATGTTCTGACTCTCATGGCCGAAGGGCATTCTTGCCTGATTACAGCTTCCTGTGATGGGGAAACAAGTCTTATTTCCAGAACTCTCCAAGGAAGGAGTGGCCATCTTCCAAGGCCAGGCTGGCCACCATCAATGGGAGGCTTACAGAGGGCGTGAGCCATGGTGTCAAGGACCAGAGAACTGCCCTCCCCAGCCCCATGCGGTGAACAAAGGCTTAGATGGAAGCTGAACATGTGGTCGGCCATGCTCAGGCTGACAGGTCCACTCCTCGGAACAGACCAGGCACTGGGCAAAGAAAGGACCCAGGTGGCACCTGTTGCCTGCCCCTCTTTGCCTCCATGCAAGCTTTGGAACTTGGAAGGAAGTTGACCAGGCCCATGTTCATTGAAAGGCTGCTGGGGACTGTCCCTTCAGGTAAGGACCAGCAAGATGCACCACAGAAGCCCGCGGGGTCAGTGGCTGCTGGAGCACTGTGCTTTAGAAAAGAGCCATCAGCCTGTCAAACCACCAATTCCCATTCTGCTGACAAACGTGTCTTGAGAAAATGGTTCGATGCCTCCGACCCTAATTTCTTTGTTCATTGGAACAAGGGTGAGTCTCTTTCCGTTTCCAGCCCAGCCATGGTCCTAAGAAACATCAGAACTGTGTAGCGGCTCCAAAACATTGGATGCTGGATAAATTGACCGGTTTGTTTGCTCCTCATCCATCCACTGGTCCTCACAAGCTGAGGGAATGTTTGCCCCTGGTCATTTTCCTAAGGAACAGACTTAAGTGTGCCCTGACTAGAGATGAAGTGAAAAAGATTTGCATGCCATGCTTCATGAAGGTTGATGGCAAAGTCAGGACCAACATAACCAATGCTGCTGGGGTTATGGACGTCATCGCATGACAAGACTGGAGAGAACTTCTGTCTGATCTACAACACCAAGGGTCGCTTTGCCGTTCACCGTATTAGACTTGAGGAGGCCAAGTACAGGTTGTGCAAAGTGAGAAAGATCTTCGTGAGCACAAAAGGAATCCCACCTCAGGTGACCCATGATGCTCCTACTATTTCCTACCCTCATCCCCTCATCAAGGTGCATGACATCATTCAGATTGATTTGGAGACAGGCAAAATAGCCAATTAAATCAAGTTTGACACCAGGAACCTGTGTATGGTGACTGGAGGTGCTAACTTGGGAAGAATTGGTGTCATCACCAATAGAGAGAGACATCTTGGCTCTTTTGATGTGATTCACATGAAAGATGCCAATGGCAACAACTTTGCCACATGGTTTTCCAACATTTTTGTTATTGGCAATGGCAACACCATGGATTTCTCCTCCCCGAGGTGCTGCAAGCCGCAAAAATGTATGAAGTAGGAGTTCAGCTGATTATGACGAGCTAACACCTGGAAGAAGCCAAGGGCCTTCCCGAGGTCAAGCTGAGGCTCAAGGAGTCTTGATGATATTTGGCTTTTGATTATCAGCCGCTTCCTGCTATGAATTTCTCATGTGCTATTGTAACTTTTCCATCCTTCTTTGGGCACAATTTCCCCTCTACTAATGAATATGTAGATAACCTTCCTTCTGAGCAGCAACGCAGCCAGGATCCTTAATTTCAGGCCTTTCTGTAATTATCGTCATTAGCAGCATCTGGTCAGGATCATCCCCAGAGGGACGAAAGTATCTTATCAGAGATACCTCTGTACTCTCTAAGAACAGACTTAAGCATCCAGACTACCTGTTTGAGAAGGCCTGGCGGATGTGCCAAATAAGCTTAACTTTCCCCTTTCCAAACTCTTATCTCTAGTTTTAGATCCACCCTTAACAATTAACTCAGAACTAAGGGGTTCCTACTTACAGACACATCTAGCTGTGAGGGAAGTTGCCTAGCCAAGTTGCCTAGCGACCGAGCACACTTGCCAGAAATGGCAGGAGCAGAGATAGCTTGGAGAGATAAGGGTCAAAGGGATAAAAAGGCAGTTTTATTTTCAGAGAGGGAAGAGACTGAGAAGAAAAAAGAGAATGGAAGAACTAGAGGGGTAAGAACTGGAGAGGAATGAACTGAGATGGGGAAGAACTAGACTGAAGGGCTGGAAGAGAGGACTAGAGGAACGAGATGGAAGATGAGGAAGAGCCAGATGGGGAAGAACAAGATAAGAAAGAAGGAGATGGGAAGGAGCTGAGATGGGAAAGAACTAGATGGATGAGAACCTAGATGGGGCAGAACCAAGATGAGAAAATTAAGGGAGAACTTAGAGGGGACAGCAGAAAATTGTAGAGAGAAATCAGGCAAGAAAGGAGCTAGGCATGAGAGCAGAATAGAAGCTTGTAGAGAGAGAACTGATTCAGAAGAATAAAGTGTACGGACTAAAGAGTTTCGTGTACGTAGATTCATTTCATGTCATCAAAGATTAAATTATCAGCTGGCTGAGGACTCTTCCCAGACCCTAGGAGGGGACTATCGAGGAGCTGGACCCCAATAGTCTCCAATACTGAGGAAAAGGAATCCGCCTGACCATTATTGAAGAAAGAGACAAAAGACAAGCGGTCAAACAGAGCACTGGGTGAAATGCTCTCTAGGAGACATGCTGGAGAGGTATTTGTGATCTTGCTACAAGCCTTTCTAAGCAACATGCTAGATTAAACAGCATGATGAAAAAAAAAGATTTGATTTATTTATGTAAGTGTGTGTGTCTGAGTTGTGTGTGTTATGTGTGTGCATGCATGCACATATGGGTGTTTTGTGTGAGTGTGGTGTGTGTGTGCACATGCACATGCACACGCGCACAGGTATGCATGTATGTGTGTGTTGTATGTGCCTGGTGTATGTGTCTGTTTGTGTGTGTGTACCTGTGGATGTAAGAAGAAAACTTGCAGAAGTCAGTTCTCACAGGCTACCTTGTGGGATCTGGGAATCAACCTCAGGTTGGCAGGCCTCCCCCTCAGTGCCTCAGCCCACTAAAGACCTCTCTACCCCTCCAAAGTAGTGTGTTGTGTGGTCTTTGGGAGCAAGCCCCAACTCTAAAACAGCTGATCATGGCCCTGGTGTTTCAGCACCTTCACCCAAGGGCTCCATCGGTGCTCTGTCAGGGACAGGACCACAACTCAGCACAAAAGGACAAGGCACACAAGGAAACAAGCCACCAGGAGGGAGAACCAGCAGAAACTTCTGGAAACAGAATTGGATCCCAGAGAAGACCAATGTGGAAATGACCAGACAGACTGGAAAGCAAATAAATGTAGAGGCTTAAAGAACCAGATGAACATCACAAGCTCTTTGTGGATCTCCAGTTTTATTTAATTTCACAAGAGTAGAGATGGCAATGGAGGGCAGCCAGGAGGGAGAGGGGAGCTCAGTGGAGGAGGGTGGTCATGGAGAAGGAGGATCCCATGTCAGCTCAGCTCCAAGGCCCAGGACAGGGGAACAGGAGCCAGAGCCTGCTGTCTCTAACTAGGTCAGGTGTCTAGTAGCCACAAAGTGTCTCCTTGGAGCCTGTTGGGTAATGACTACTTCAAAAGAGCCAGACAAACAGAAACAGGACAACCAGAGAGTCAGTGGAAGGCCAACATTGGATGTAGCTCCGGGCCAGGGTCCCAGAGAGACCAACCTATACCACACACACCTGCCCCCATGGGTGGCCAGATTCTCCTGGGAGGCCTTAGAAGGATTTCAGGACTCACAGGTCAACTGGTCATAGGATAGTAGCCACCATTGGGGCAGGTGAAAAGTGTGGGAATAAGCAATACAGAAGTCACTGGAGGAGAGAGAGGTAGGTATGAGGTTGAGCCCAGTTGTGGGGAGCAGGACAGCTGGGATCACAACTCTGAGGGTATCAGACCTGCATGTGGGGGACTTTGAAGCATGGGACAGGTCAGCAGCAGCTGGACTTTTGGCCTGAGGAGAGGCCACAGCAGGCCTGGCGGGAGCAGGCAGGGCGGCAGAGCAGGGACACACTGGAGCAGGGCTTGCAGCAGCTGGGCTGGCAGGAGGAGGCACAGCAGGAGGAGGTGGGCACACAGCAGGCAGGTCTGCACACAGGGCGGCAGAGCAGGGACACACTGGAGCAGGGCTTGCAGCAGACAGGCTTGCAGCAGACAGGCTTGCAGCAGACAGGCACACAGCAGGATGATTGACAGCATGAGGGCTGGCAGCTAGACTGCTGGCAGCATGAGGAGGATCCAGAGCAGATGGGTGTGCAGCAGACAGGCTTGCAGCAGACAGGCACACAGCAGGAAGATTGACAGCAGGAGGGCTGGCAGCATGAGGGTGAGCAGCAGACAGATTGGCAGCAAGGGCTGGACACACAGCTCACTGGGGTGCATATGAGGGTCAGGCAGGGGGCTGGGGCACAGCAGCTGGGCTGGCAGCAGCTGGTCACACAACAGCTGGGCACACAGCAGCTGGGCTGGCAGCAGCTGGGCTGGCAGCAGCTGGGGGCACAGCAGCTGGACTGGCAGCAGCTGGGGGCACAGCAGGTAGGCTCACAGCAGCTCTCTGGGCAGTCGTCCACCTGCCAGGAGGAGTTGGTGCAGGCGTCAGAGCAGACAGACATGGTGGAGGCGGCCATGGCGGGGTTGGCTGGAGGAGGGTGAGTCTGTGAGAGAGTGAGTGTGTATGTATGTGTGTGTGTGTGAGGGAGAGAGGTGTCTGGTGGCAGCATTTATACCCCTGGGCTGCTTGTGTTGTCCCTCAGCTCCTGGCTTCCTTTTCCCTGTCTGTGTTTGGGCTCAGCCTGTTGTCTCACTAGTGAGGAACGATCAACAAATACTGCTGTCTGCTGACACTGCCCCTGGGGGAAACCCCACAGAGATGACCAGATCTCATGGGAGGTGGGGATGGCAGCAGACAGGTGACCTTCTGGAGGTGGCAGCCACTGTCCTATCTCTGAAGTCTTAGTTCTTGAGGCAGCTTCTGAAGCTGGGCAGAGATGGAGGGAGGACAGCCCAGGGGTGGGATAAGAAGATGGTGGCATGTGTTCCTGAAGTGTTCTGTAGGACTTGCTGTCTAGGGGTGTCCCTTCTGTCGGTGAGAACTCAAGGATTTCTTGGTGCCTTGGCAGGCCTGATGGAGTCAGAGTGTGCAAGAGGGTGAAGGCCTCTGCTACATTTCAAGTTGAAGTTAAAATTCTCTGGAGCCCCTGACAGTGTCCATGACATTAATGGTCCTTTGTGTCCTCTGAGCTCTGGCAGTTTCTCCTGTACCCAGGTCCTCAGAGCTCCTGTTGCCCCAGGGACACAGCCAGCTCAGTCCCTCAACACAACTCTGCTGGGGACTTGGGCACACTGAGGACAATGATTTCCTGGAGCCTGTCTCATGCACCTACTCATGCTCAGCCCTGCTCCAAGCCTTGGGGACACCCTGGGTTCTGGCCATGGGACAACTACAGACACAGCAAAACCAGAATCTAAGGCAAAATAGACACATCCCAATTAATAAAATAAAGAGACTTTGCTGTCCGCAGGACTGTCACTGGGACAAAGTGGCAGCCTACAGAATGGAAAGACTTTTACCAGCTGCACATCTGATACAGGGCCAATGTCTAAAATACAGAATGAATTTTTAAAAAATGAGCATGAAGAAAACAACACAATTAAAACGGGGTACATGCCTAAGCAGAGAGTTCTAGAGGAAAAAACACATACGGCTGAAAACACTTAGAGAAAAGTTCAGCCTCCTTAGTCATCAGAGGAATGCCAATCAAACTTCTCTGAGATGTCATCTTACTCCCATCAGAATGGCCAAGGTCAAGAAAACAAATAACAGCTCGTGCTGGTGAGAATGTGGGGGAAGGGGACCCCTCACTTATAGCTAGGGTACATGAAAACTTGTACAGCCATTATGGAAGTCAGTGAGACAGTTCCTCAGGAAGCCGGAAATCAATCTACCTCAAGATCCTCTTGGGCATGTACCCAAAGGACTCTACATCCTACTACAGAGACACTTGCTCATCCATGTTCGTTGCTGCTCTATCCATAATAGCCAGAAGTAGAAACAGCTCTGATGTCTCTCAGTGGATGAATGTATAAAGGAAATGTGGTACATTTACACAATGGAATGTTACTCAGCTGTTTAAAGATGAAACCACAAAATTTTCAGGTTAACTGATGGAGATGGGGGAAAAACTATCCTGACTGAGGTGACCCAGAACCAAAACACATGTATGGTATGTATTCGCTTATATGTGGACGTTAGCTGTTAAATCTTCAAAAGCACCCTATAATCCATAAAACCACAGGGGTTAGTTATAGAGAAAAGTATTGGAGGGAAGGATTTCCCAAAGAAGGGAAAATAGAATATATAGTTATGGAAGGACAAGATGGAGCTAGAACGGGAGAATTAAACAGAGAAGGGAACAGAAGGGGAGTGAGGGAGAGACACACATGGAAGGACACCTAACACTAAGGACCATTTGGAGGTCATTTGGAAGCCTACTACAGTAGAAGCTTCACTAAATACAAATAGAAATACAAATAGAATCACTAAATAACAGAGGAGACAAAGCTCTAAATCAACATCTCCTGCCATCAAATTAAACCTCCAAAGCTGGAAACAGAGAACATCAATTTGAGTTGTTGCCTAAAGGGGCCCATGGAATACCCCAAACAACTCAAGCTATTTAGAAGGACATTGGTTGCTGTCCACAAATGGATGACAAGGCTCTGTTGCTGAAGACAATACCTCAGGAACTCATTGAACACTGAGGAAAGTAAACACCAAGCTAGCTAAAGCCCTCAAATCTACAATGATGATCAGTCCACAAAGCACACTAGGCCCAAAGTGGCACACAACTCATGGGAGTAACCAACCACTATCTGAATAGACTTAAGACCCACTCCATGAGATGAAGCCCACGCCTGAAACAGCTTGGGTGGCCAAGAACCTGAGACTAGGTTGGCCATGGAAACCTAGCACTGAAATGACCTCTAATGACCTCCTGCTGTACTTGTGCATCAGTGTCTTGCTCAGCCATCATCCAAGAAGCCTCCTCTGCAGAAGATGGGAACAAATACAGAGACTGAAACTGGACAACATGAGAGACTGAGAGACCTTGGAGTACCCGGCCCCAAATGGGATGTCCCCATAAAATGCTTGTCTCAGGGCTCAGAGAGGACGCAGAGACATTCCCAGAGCCACTGGTGATGGAGGACACTAAGGACACAAAGCCTTCTGGACCCCAAGATGGTGAAATTACCAAGACTGTGGCAGCATGCACGGTCTAAGTTAGAGGGGTTCCCAGTACTGAAGGAGAAGTGGAAACAAACCCCATCCCTAATTCCAACTGAGAACCACTCACAAAGGAAAGAGAAGTGTATCCCACAGACTCTCACCGGGCACACAAACCACACTTAAGGGCAGGCCCCATGCCCAGCAGCAGATGGCCAACACAAAACAAACTCAAAGGTATTTTTGGAGGTTTTGGTTTCATAATGCTCTGTCTGGACTTTCCTCTGTGTGTGTGTGTGTGTGTGTGTGTGTGTGTGTGTGTGTGTGTGTGTGTTTTAATCTCACAGTTTTTTTTGCCATATATATATATATATATATATATATATATATATATATATATTATGTATATACAATATATACATATGTCTATTATTAGGGTTTCCAATTTTATGACATTTCTCTATGTGCAAAAGTGTGTGTCTCTGCACGTGTATGTGTTTCCTGTGCTTTTCTTTGGCTCTTTTTTTTCTGATTTGTTTTGTCCTATTCTGATTTTTTTTTTTAAATCCACAGGAGAAGCCAATGGCCCAGAAGCGATCAGCAGACAGCCAGGACAGCAGAAGACAAGAGACTGCTTAGTCTCCACCCTGCTCCAGACTCTTTAAAAGCCAAACATTTTTGGACAAGTCATTATAACATCCTAGTTCTTGTTAAGGTTTATTTTTACTTATGTGTAGGCTTCTGTGAAGCACCTGTGGGTGCCTATGGAAACCAGAAGAAGTTATTGGATTCCTCGGAGCACGAGTTCTGGGTGTTTATGAGACACCTCACATGGGTCTTGGAAAACGAATTTGGATTCTATAAAAATACAGTATGTGCTGTTAACTACTGACTCCTATCTCCAGACCTGTGTCCCTGGATTTTTAGGATTTATAGTTACAATATAAACCTCAATAAGACTACTGACTGTGCAAAGAACACATAGGAGCAATATCATTTGGGTATATTTGTGTGTATGTGCTAACATGTTTGTCTGAAAACCACTCTAGCACCCCAAACTCGAGTGTTCTGGGTGGTCTTTGGGAGCAAGCCCCAAATCTAACAGCTGATCACATCGCTGGTGCTTCTGCATCTTCATCTAGGCCTCCATTGGTGCTCTGTCAGGGACAAGACTACGACTCAGCCAGAAGATGAGGCACTCTGGGAAAAAGCCACCAGAGTGAGAACTAGCAGAAATTTCTAGGAACGGATTTCGATCCAAGAGATGACTGATGTGGAAATGACCAGTCAGACTGGAAACAGAATTAATGTAGAGGCTTAAAGAACCAGATGAACATCACAAGCTCTTGGTGAATCTCCAGTTTTATTGTATTTCACAAGAGTAGAAGATGGCAATGGAGGGCAGCCAGGAGGGGGAGGGGAGCTCAGTGGAAGAGGGTGGTCATGGAGAAGGAGATCCCATGTCAGCTCAGCTCCGAGGACCAGGACAGGGGAACAGGAGCCAGAACCTGCTGTCTCTAACTAGGTCAGGTGTCCAGTAGCCACAAAGTGTCTCCTTGGAGCCTGATGGGTAATGACTACTTCAAAAGAGCCAGACAAACAGAAAGAGGACGACCAGACAGTCAGTGGAAGGCCAACATTGGATGCAGCTCCGGGCCAGGGTCCCAGAGAGACCGACCTATACCACACACAGCCTGTCCCCATGGGTGGCCAGATTCTCCTGGGAGGTCTTAGAGGTTTTCAGGACTCACAGGTCATCAACTGGTCATGGGATAGTAGCCACTATTGGGGCAGATGAAAAGTGTGGGAATAAGCAATACAGAAGTCACTGGGGGCTGAGGAGGGAGAGGTGGGTATGAGGCTGAGCCCAGTTGTGGGAAGCAGGACATCTGGGATCACAACTCTGCGAGTTTCAGACCTGCATGTGGGGGACTTTGAAGCATGGGACAGGTCAGCAGCAGCTGGACTTTTGGCCTGAGGAGAGGCCACAGCAGGCCTGGCGGGAGCAGGCAGGGCGGCAGAGCAGGGACACACTGGAGCAGGGCTTGCAGCAGCTGGGCTGGCAGGAGGAGGCACAGCAGGAGGAGGTGGGCACACAGCAGGCAGGTCTGCACACAGGGCGGCAGAGCAGGGACACACTGGAGCAGGGCTTGCAGCAGACAGGCTTGCAGCAGACAGGCACACAGCAGGAAGATTGACAGCATGAGGGCTGGCAGCTAGACTGCTGGCAGCATGAGGAGGATCCAGAGCAGATGGGTGTGCAGCAGACAGGCTTGCAGCAGACAGGCACACAGCAGGAAGATTGACAGCATGAGGGCTGGCAGCTAGACTGCTGGCAGCATGAGGGTATGCAGCAGACAGATTGGCAGCAGGGGCTGGACACACAGCTCACTGGGGTGCAGATGAGGGTCAGGCAGGGGGATGGGGCACAGCAGCTGGGCTGGCAGCAACTGGGCACACAGCAGCTGGGCACACAGCAGCTGGGTTGGCAGCAGCTGGGGGCACAGCAGGTAGGCTCACAGCAGCTCTCTGGGCAGTTGTCCACCTGCCAGGAGGAGTTGGTGCAGGCGTCAGAACAGACAGACATGCTGGAGGCAGTCATGGCGGGGTTGGATGGAGGAGAGTGAGTTTGTGAGAGAGTGAGTGAGTGTTGAGTATGAGTGTGTGTGAGCTGTCTGGTGGCAGCATTTATACCCCTGGGTCGCTTGTGTTGTGCCTCAGCTCCTGGCTTCCTTTTCCCTGTCTGTGTTTGGGGTCAGCCTGTTGTCTCACTAGTGAGGGACCATCAACAAATACTGCTGTCTGCTGACACTGCCCCTGGGGGAAACCCCACAGAGATGACCAGATCTCATGGGAGGTGGGGATGGCAGCAGACAGGTGACCTTCTGGAGGTGGCAGCCACTGTCCTATCTCTGAAGTCTTAGTCCTTGAGGCAGCTTCTGAAGCTGGGCAGAGATGGAGGGAGGACAGCCCAGGGGTGGGATAAGAAGATGGTGGCATGTGCTCCTGAACTGTTCTGTAGGACTTGCTGTCTAGGGGTTTCCCTTCTGTCAGTGAGAACTCAAGGATCCCTTGGTGCCTTGGCAGACTTGATAGAGTCAATGAGGGAAAGCAGGTGAAGGCTTCTGTCACATTTCAAGTTGAAGTTTAACTTCTCTGGAGCCCCTGACAGTGCATATGACACTCATAGGTGTTTGTGTCTTTTGAACTCGGGCAGTTTCTCCTGTACCCAGGTCCTCAGAGCTCCCGTTGCCCCAGAGACACAGCCAACAGCTTGTTAATATTATTTTTATTCATATGTATTTGTCTGTGTAATACACGTGGTGCCTGGAAACCAAAATAGGATAAATGGATCCTTCAGAGCCAGAGTTACAGATGGATGTGAGACACCTGACCTTGGTCCTGGGAACTGAATTTGGGTCCTCTGAAAGATCAGTAAATGCTGTTAACCCCTGATCCCTTTCTCCAGTTCTGTGTCCTCATGTTTTTAGGATTTATAGATACAATATATACCTCAACAAAACTACCAACTGTGCAAAAACAACACATAGGAGCAATATCGTTTGTGTACATTTGTGTGTATGTGTTCATGTGTTTGCACATGTGTGCGCATGTGTGTGGAGGCCTGAGTAGACCTGAGGTATCTTCTTCCCTGTGCCCTCCACTGTATTCTTTAAGGCAGGGTCTCTCACTGAACCTGCAGTTCACTGAGTCAACAGGCTGACTGGCCAGTGGGCCCAGGAATTCTCCTCCCTGCCCTCCCAGTACTGGGAGTGCAGACACCCCTTGTCATCCTCAGCTTTTCATATGGCCAGGGATTCAAATTCAGATCCTCATGCTGAGGCAGCAAGCGTTTATCCGCTGAGCCCCCTCCCCAGTCCTGGAAAAACCGTTTTCTATTTCACTGGAACTGAGTGAGTACCGATGTCAAGTAGGTTTGAAGTGTATATAGTTTGGGTTCACTAAAGAGTTTAAAACAGAGGTATAGAGCAGGGTTCTCAACCTGTGGGTCTCGACCTTTGGCAAAATGACCTTTTCACAGGGTTGCATATCAGATATGCACATTACAATTCATAACAATAGCAAGTCTACAGTTATGAAGTAGCAATGAACATAAGTTTATGTTTGGGGTCACCATTACAGGACAAACTGCATTAAAGGACCACAGCGTTAGGAAGGTTGAGAACCACTGGTATAGAGCAAAATTCAATAGAAACAAAGAGTCATATCAAGGTGAGTTGAAGACTTTATTTTTTTATTTATTTTTATTTTTTTATTTTTTTTGGTTTTTCGAGACAGGGTTTCTCTGTGTAGCTTTGCGCCTTTCCTGGAACTCACTTGGTAGTCCAGGTTGGCCTCGAATTCACAGAGATCCTCCTGGCTCTGCCTCCCGAGTGCTGGGATTAAAGGGGTGCGCCACCACCGCCCGGCTGAGTTGAAGACTTTAATACTCCCGTTACAGTAGGAAAACAGTTAGGTGAAGGACTAACAAAAACAGAACAATTGCAAGTCAACAAAATGCAGCGCATCCCGGCAGGGTCTCCTCATAGCAGCCGAGCATGTATGCTGCTGATGTAGGGGTATGGGCGGTATGGGGGTAGGTGTGAGTGGTCAGGGTGGTGTTGGTGTGGGTGTGTGTGGTGTAGATGTGTGTGGTGTAGATCTGGGTGGTGTAGGTATGTGTGGTGATGGTGTGGGTGATGATGGTGTGGGTGGTGTGAGTAGTGATGGTGTGGGTGATGATGGTGTGGGTGGTGATGGTGTGGGTGTGCAGATGATGTGAATCATAATGGTGTGGGCAGTATAGGTGTGGGTGGTGATGGTGTGGGTGTTAATGGTGTGGGTGTGTGGACTGGGTGAGTGGTATAGGTATGGGTGGTGTAGGTGTGGGTGGTGATGGTGTGGGTGTGTGGATGGGGTGAGTGGTATAGGTATGGGTGGTGTAGGTGTGGGTGGTGATGGTGTGGGTGTGTGGATGGGGTGAGTGGTATAGGTATGGGTAGTGTAGGTGTGGGTGGTGATGGTGTGGGCGGTGTAGGTGTGGGTGGTGTCAGTGTAGGCATGGGTGGTGTGGGTGGCATGGACACAGATAGTGTGTTTGTGTGGAGCTCTGTCTACACAGAACACACATGGGTCATGAAGCTAACCTGAGGAGAGAAACCACACGGAACATGAGCTCAGGCAAGAAGAGAACAAAATTACAAATCGATGATAGAAAAAAATATATCAGAAAACTTAGAAATAAGTGAAAACGAACAGCATAGCCCTTAAATAACCAAGCGGCCATAGGAGAGGATAAAAGCGATACTGTAAACTATGCTGAGATGAAGGAAAACAAAACCCTCATTGCTCTGACAGGATACCTGGGAAGAGCAAACTTTATCTTTGCTCAGATTCTGAGGACACAGTCCCTCATGGCAGGGGAGGGATGGTGCCTGGAGCCTGGGGCAGCTGCTGTATCACTCCTCAGTGAGCAAGCAAAGAGCCATATGGGTGCTCAGGCCACTTCCTCTTTGTTATTCATCACATGACTCCAGTCCGTGGTTTGGTGCCCCCCACGTCCATGGAGTCTCAGTCAATCCTCTCTGGAAACACCCTCACGGACATGCCCAGAAGTGTCCTCAGGTGATTCCAAATCCTGTCAGGTTGACACTGGGCATCAGCCATCACAGTGCAGACTCAGAGAAGCCCTGCCATGGGAGAAGCTCACAGCCATGGACACGTGTGCCGAGGAAGCCTCGGGTCAGTTACCTGAGCAGAGCAAATGCACAAGGAGGAAAAACAAAGACCCAGTGGAGACAGACCAAGAAGAATCCACACCGATGACCCTCAGGATCTCTCCTGAAAACTGGAAAGGGGGTGGTACATCTCAAGCCACTCTGAGACAAGTGTTACTCTCAGGCCATCCTCAAAGACAGGCATGCAGACCAGCACCTCTATGACATGGATGAAAATTCCTCAGCAACAGAGTCCGGTGCATAGAAACAGACAGGAGGTGTGGGTCTTCAATTTGTCACACAGCCTTTGTGCTAAAGGCTTGGCCCCAGCTCATGGTGCTGCTGGGTGGTGGTGGTGCCCATAAGAAGTGGAAGTAAGTCAGCTGTGCCCTTAAAGGGGACCCTGGGACCCTGGCCCTCCTCTCTTTGCTTCCCAACCACCCAGAGGGAGCAGATTCCTGTTACACTCCCCACCAAATAATGCAATGACTGTGGAAATAGCCTGGTAGGACCTCAAGAGTCACAAAGTTCCTATGTGACCCAAGAATTCCATCTTTAGATTTGTCCCCAGGAGCAATGAGAGTGACTCCACATAGGACACGAATACTGGCAGCAGCATCATTTACAAGCTCAAAGTGGAGGCAGCCTAAGCGTCCATCAGCCACTGACCAGAGTCAATACAACGTGGGTAGTGTATGCACAAAACAGGGGGTTATTCGGCTATGACCAGGGATACAACTGTGGCACATGCCACAACATGAATGAAACCATGACGACATATGCTGAGGAATTAGTCATGAAAGGCTGGATACAATGATCTACTGATGTGAAATGTACAAAACAGATCAAGCAGCAGGCACTCACGAAGATTTGCAGTAAGAGAGGAGGCAGAGCCAGGTTTATGAAACGACACAGAACTTCTTATGTAGTGACCAAATTATCCTAAAACTGATTGCAGAAATCCATGACTACAACAACAACCATTGAGTTGTGCACACCCATAACTGTATGGGCAGCCACTGAGCTGTGCAAACCTGTGACCATACTAATAATCATCAAGATGTAAACATCAGGAACTATGCTAGTAACCACGGAGATGTGTATGCTCGTGACTCTACCAGCCACCATGGAGCTGTGCAAGCCTGTGACCATACCAACAGCCATCAAGCTATACAGATCTGGGTTCACACCAGTAGCCATGGACAGTGCACATTCATGACTGCATTAGCAACCATTGAGCTATGCAGAGTCTTGGCTAGACCAACAACTATCAGGCCCCCCAAAACAGTGACTGTGCCAACAATTGCTCTGCACATCTGTCACTATAGCAACAACCACTGGGCTGTGAGAACCAATGGCTATAACAACCACAAGCGGCACACACTCAAGACTATACTAACAGACATTGGGACATGCCATTCTTTGACTATAGCAACAACCATTGGGTTGTGCAAACTCTCAATTCTACCAACTATAATCAGGCTTTGAAAAACTTATGCCTATATCAACAACCATTAGGCCACACAAACCTGCACATATAACAACCACTGGGCAGTGTAAATTTGTGACTATACCAACAACCACTGGGCCATGCAACCTGTGGTGATACCAACAACCATCAGGCCACACAAACCAGGACTATACCAACAACCATCAGGCTGTGTAAACCTGTGACTAAACCCACAACCATCAGGTTGTACAAGCTTATGATTGTTCCAGCAACCGCTGAGTCACACAAACCCATGGCTACACCATTCACCATTAGGCCACACAGTTCCCTGGCTATTCATCAACCATCAGCTGTGCAAACCCATGCATATACCAACACCCCCCCCCACTGGGCAGTGAAATCTGTGACAGTACCAACAACCATCAGGCTGAAGGTTGCACAGACAGAGTCTGCACACCACCAGGGATGGGGCTATGATGTGGGCAAGGCAAGCCCTCCGGACCCCAGGTTCCTGTAAACTTTGCCAAGCAGCTCACTGTGGCCTGGATCAGCACAGCGCTCTGTGGGTACTGATACTGGAAACGTCAGTAAAGAAAATCAAGAAGGAAAACCACCCTTACAAGAAGAAAAACTGCCACTGACCTTGGGTGGAAGGTTGGGAACTCTCAAGGTGACAACAATGGAGAATTCTTCAGGGAAGAGGTCACAGCTAGAGAAGATTCTAGAGGCAGGGAAGCTCAGGGTACGAGGCTCGGTGGCTGAGAACTGGAGGCCCCGCACACCCTCGGCCTGCACCATCCGGATCCCACTTGTAGCACCATTCAAAGGGACCACTTCTGCCAGGATGTCCAGGGGACGGAGGTCTGTGGCAAAGACATGACGGGGGTAGGGGTTAGGTAATGTTTGTGCAACACCACAGCCATGATGGCTCATTGACAATGTCTGTGTATTTCCAGATTTTACATCACGAAAGCTGTCAGAGCCACACTACAGCCATGGTGTCAAGGTGTGAATCCCAAACCCAGTAAAAAAGCAGTGAATCTGGGATAGTGTACTGGAGCAGGCCTTCTGCGTGGCTGACCAATCACAAGAAGCAGTCACAACAGGCAGTGCTGTGGCTGTAGCTTGGCCCAGAGGAGTCCATTACCTCATACAAAAAAACATCTCTGAGGACATCTCCCGAGCCACTGCCCTACAGCCAGTAATGGACATTGTGCTTGCTAACATGCTCATGGCCGGGGCGTGTTTTAAAACGCCCCATATAACCCTCACTGTGCCTTTGAAAATGCCCCCTTGCCTCAGCCTTCTTGAGCTCACCCACAGTTTAGCATGGTGTGTGTCCCCTTCTGTTGCTGCTCTTTGGAGACACGCATGGTTTGCGTGTTACTCAGGTTAACAATATGTGCCTCCTTAGCCCTGGGAGCAGTGGGTCGTGGCTATCCCTGTTTTTCCGGTGAGGAAATGGAGGCGTCTAGCATTAACACGGATTCTGCCTCCCTGTTGCCTCAGCTTCTGCTGAGCTTTGCATACACGAGTGAGAGTGACCACTGAAGGGCATGCTCCCCGTGGTAGCCAAGTTCAGTCAACAGCCGACACTGTGCTGAGACAGAGTTCTGTCCCTGAGGATGGGAAGCATCAGGCCAGAATCCCCAGGTCACTGTTGGTGGGAGGGCCTCCTCCATCTCCCTCCAGCTTTAGGGATGAGAGGTGGCTCCTGGGAGAGGCTCTGCTTCCTAGCTCAACATCACTAGAGATAGAATCAATGGTCTGGCTTGGCCTTCACTGGTCTTGGAGAGCTTTGGTGCCGAAAGAGAGCCTTTGGGACTACACAACTGGGCCCCAGGAAGAAGTCATGAGGTGAGCCAGATGGGTTGGCTGTGTCCAGAAGAACCAATAAAGGGGGTGGGGGGGGGGGGGGAGAAAGCTGTGGGCCTGGATTCCTGGCAGAGAATGAAGATCCTCAGGAGAGTGTTAGCATGTCACACTAGCAGCAGAGAGAGGGGAAAAAGTACGCCACATCCAAAGGCCGATGCAGGAGCCCGAGATTGGCCAACCCTCAGAAGCAATCAACATGAGAATGATTTAGGACCTCTTCCATGGTCTTCATGACCCCCTGAGTCTGTTAGTATTTAGCCAGGCGGTGGTGGCGCACGCCTTTAATACCAGCACTCGGGAGGCAGAGCCGGATGGATCTCTGTGAGTTCGAGGCCAGCCTGGGCTACCAAGTGAGTTCCAGGAAAGGCGCAAAGCTACACAGAGAAACCCTGTCTCGAAAAACCAAAAAAAAAAAAAAAAAAAAAACCAAAAATAAAATAAAAATAAAAAATCTTTTAATAAATAAATAAAAATCTTTTAAAAGTAACAAAGGAGACCCTGAGATCCCCTCTACATATGCATAAAAGGAGTTCATACGCTGCCGGGCGGTGGTGGCGCACGCCTTTAATCCCAGCACTCGGGAGGCAGAGCCAGGCCTGTGTTACTCAGATCGCTGTGAGTTCGAGGCCAGCCTGGTCTACAGAGCGAGATCCAGGACAGGCACCGAAACTACACAGAGAAACCCTGTCTCAAAAAAAAAAAAAAAAAAAAAAAAGAAGTTCACAGAATTTAACCTCTTTTCCCAGTGAAATCTCTTAGCCACAGACAAGAACTTTTAGGCCAGACAAGGCCAGTCTAGAAGACCTAGTGCTGTAATGAGGATATCATGGTTTGCTCCTTGTCCCTAAGGCCTGGGTTGAAGGCCTGGTCCCTAGATGAGGGTACTATAGGAGGTGGGGGCTAATGGGAGGAAGCTAGCTCCCTGGGAGCATGCTCTTGAAGAGGTCCTGAGACTCAAGACCATTTCTCCTTGCTTCTGGTTGCCATGAGATGAGCAGCCTCTCCACATGTTCCCACCATGATGTGTGTCTCACCACAGGCCCAATGTGCCAGGGCTGGCCCGTCATGCACTGAATCCTCTAAAAACAGGCGCCAAAATAGACCTTTCCTTTTTCTAAGTTAATGACCTCAGAAATGTCATCACAGCCTTGGCAGGATAGCCAACTCACAAAGGAAACACTAGGTGCCAATGCCCTCTGTGGTCACACAGAACCTCCCAGGCCACTTCCTGGGAGGTCCAGGAAACATCATACCCACAGCAGAGCACACGGAGCATGGGGCTTTGGTTTCTTTTTTTTCCCTCCCTCCAGAACTGAGGACTGAACCCAGGGCCTTGCGCTTGCTAGGCAAGTGCTCTACCACTGAGATAAATCCCCAACCTGGGGCCTTGGTTTCTAAACACCTCCTGCAGGAGAGCAGCTGAGCTGGGAGTAAAACAGAGTATGAGATGAGCCTGGACCAGACAGAGCATGGTCAGCAGGGGAGAAGGCAAGAAGAGCCCAGAGCAAGCCAGTGGCCAACTGGGGTAAAATAAATCAGGAACCAATGAAGAAAGAGAAGAGAGGTGGGTCTACTCTCAGACATAGCTCAGCAAAATGTACAGTGATTGGGCAGATAGGCTGAAGGCAGAGCCCACAGAACTGTGGTAACCAGACAGGGGATAGAGCTCTAGGGGAGTAGAAATGATGGACGGATGGTTACATAAAACTGGCCGTTGGAAGTTTCCAAGAAACTCCTGGCAAATGTTAGCCACAGAGGGGAAACAGTGGCTTGACCAGCAGAGGCTTATCTGCATGGCTCCCACGGGCCACACTGTGCACTGAGCTGTGGCCCCGGATGAGCCCCCATTTGACTGGGAGAAATGCAAGTGGCCCATGAGTGGTGTTTTACAAGACAAGCAAGCCATCTTCTCCAGAGTCAAGGTCACAGGAAGGAAGGGTTGAAGGCCATGAGGCCATTCCCAAGTGGTGTGACTCTGATGCCAACTGCTGGTTCCCAGTAAAGCCAGTCCTGGGGGAAAGCAATGGGCCAGCGGAAACATCTGGATTAGGTGATAAGCTTGGGGATATGCTGGTTTGCTCCCAAGAAGGAGTTCCAGACAGCCTGAAATATGCCCTTCAAGAGATGCTGGGTATGAGGTCTTGGACCTGCACATGTGACTGTATTGGAAAGCAGTATCGTTGTAGATGACTGAGTCACTAGGTGGGCTACAATCCAACTTACGGATATAAAAAGGGATAATTTGGACTCAACCCACAGGGAGAAAACAGATGTCTGGGAATAAGCTAGGGAGCCAACAATGCTGGCAGCCTTAGGAGCCGGGTGGCCTGGGCAGTCCTCTTGGCTCAGGTCAACCAGCACTGACACCAGAGATGGACTTCAGTCTCCATGGTAACATCTCGGGTAGCCATATAGTCGGGGTACTTGGCTGCACAGCTTGCGGAATTTGACAAGTCCCTGAAGAAACATCAGAGTTTCTCCATCCAGAAACTCCACTGACCATCACTAACCACCACAGAAGTGCAGAGTCCTGCTCCAGTCCATGAGGCCCAGGGCCAGGAGTGATCCATGACCCTCCATCAGTACTTCAGGCCAGTCCTGCCTTACCCGCAAACAACCCAGGAAGAAAGCCCATGTGATCCACATGAAACACAACTTGTTGTTATGAGACTAAACAAGAGGCGAGGCACTAGCCAACGTGAGCAGCAAAGTGAGAAATCAAAACAGGAACAAGGCAATAGCAACCAGGAAGCGGTGGTCATGGGCTGCGCCAGTAGTAGCAGCCGGGGAGGAGTATATAAGGCCAATGATTCCTACCCCTGACACACACACTCACACATTCACTCAACACTCACTCACCCTCCCCCCCACGACAACCCCGCCATGGCCGCCTCCACCATGTCTGTCTGCTCCGACGCTTGTACTAACTCCTCCTGGCAGGTGGACGACTGCCCAGAGAGCTGCTGTGAGCCTACCTGCTGTGCCCCCAGCTGCTGCCAGCCCAGCTGCTGTGTGCCCAGTTGCTGCCAGTCCAGCTGCTGCCAGCCCAGCTGCTGTGTCCCAAGCTGCTGTCAGCCCAGCTGCTGCACCCCAGCCTCCTGCCTGACCCTCATCTGCACCCCAGTGAGCTGTGTGTCCAGCCCCTGCTGCCAATCTGTCTGCTGTACACCCTCATGCTGCCAACAGTCTAGCTGCCAGCCAGATTGCTGCACCTGCTTTCCCTGCTGTGTGACTCTTTGCTGCAAGCCTGTCTGCTGCACACCCATCTGTTCTGGATCCTCATGCTGTCAGCAGTCTAGCTGCCAGCCCTCATGCTGTCAATCTTCCTGCTGTGTGCCTGTCTGCTGCAAGCCTGTCTGCTGCACACCCATCTGCTCTGGATCCTCCTCATGCTGCCAGCAGTCTAGCTGCCAGCCCTCATGCTGTCAGTCTTCCTGCTGTGTGCCTGTCTGCTGCAAGCCTGTCTGCTGCAAGCCCTGCTCCAGCGTGTCCCTGCTCTGCCGCCCTGTGTGCAGACCTGCCTGCTGTGTGCCCACCTCCTCCTGCTGTGCCTCCTCCTGCCAGCCCAGCTGCTGCAAGCCCTGCTCCAGTGTGTCCCTGCTCTGCCGCCCTGCCTGCTCCCGCCAGGCCTGCTGTGGCCTCTCCTCGGGCCAGAAGTCCAGCTGCTGATGGGCCTGTTCCTGGTGCCAGCTGACTCAGGTCCCTCCCTGTGGCCCCTCTCAGCCTCTCAGTCTGATTCTGATCTGGAATAGACGGTCCCCCAGGATGGATCCCCAACCTGTCCTTTGTGACTTGATTTCTTCTCCTCCTTCCCAGGAGGCCTGCTAATCCTCCGGGTCACTGTCCCTCCCCCTGTCCCTCTGCTCTGGGTACCTGCCCCTGACATCAGCTTGTCAAAGCCCGTGGCTTCAATAAACTTTTAACCACCTGGATTTCCTCTCATGCTCTGGTTCAAGTAAATGTCTGTCTCTTCAGCCAGGAATGTTTTAGAAGGGACAGTAGTCATCTCCCTTGGTGGAGGGGTCACAGTGAGACTCAGGGCCCCTCTCCCAATATTCAATCTTCTCTGACTCCTATGGGTTGCTAGTTACCCACAGGTATTCAGCAGTCCACTACAGGCCATCCCCATCAACTGCTCCTCTTTATTTCTCTAGAATCACACAAGCAAAGCCACATTCATGACTCCAGGCACTGTGGCCCCTGGCCTGGGCTGCCTTGTGAGTTCTGCCTACTAGACAATTCTCCATAGGATACATAGAGAGGGACACAACAGATTTTCATCTGGAAACAAAATCATTGTGGGGAAGAAGGGGGATACACAGGACCAGGCACTGCCCAGTACCCTCTACTGGGACATTGGGACATAGGGACACAAGAACATAGTCTTCTCTCTATAGGCTACATTGGGTCTCACTCACAAAGGGCCATGGATTATAAGCTCTCTCCGATGTGGAGAAGACATGGGCTACAATGGGTGCGCAGGTGTGTGAGCAACATGTCAAGACCTGGAAACTTCCAGCTGAGCCACAGTGAGGGACTGTGGCAGAGGCCAGAGATATCATGATCAGCTGACCATTATCCCCAAAGAAGCAAGGATACCAATGCCCATGTCCCCATCCCGCCTTGCACACCACGGACTGGGCCCTGACTTCCCTCTCTGAGCCCTTCTCATCCCTCCATCCTGCATCCATCTGCACCCAGAGCCCCCCAGGCCATGCTGTTCATCAGGGTCTCAGCCATTTTCCCAGCCCCTTCTCCTTCCCAGACACTTCCAACTGAGTCTTGCTCTCCCCCCGGCTCAGAGGAACTGGTGGAAACAGTTCCTTCAGGCAGCACCCCTCCACCTCCCACATCGGGTACCCCCCACATCCCTGCTCTGGATTACTGAGGATACATGCCCAGACAGCAAATCACACTGTGTGGACATCTGTGCTCAGTTTCCATTGAGTAAATGTTTCTGGTTCTCTCTGTGAAGACTGAGGAAGAGTGTGGCTACCAGGCCTGATGCGCTCGCTCTCCTGTCCAGCAGCTGCCCAGGGCTTCCTCACAGCTTCACCGCTGTCTGTCTCTGCCCACTGTGTTAGCCGCTTTCCTCCATGCTATGACCAATTATCTGAGAAGAATCAGCTTGATGGAGGCAGGGTTATCTTGGTTCAGGGTTTGAGGATGCGGTCCACTCTGGCGGGGAAGGGCAGAACTGTGCTCAGTTGTGGCAGCAGGCATATGAGGCTGCCTGCTCACATCTTGGTGGAAGCAGAGAGGTGACAAGTAGTGGGGTCAGGTTATCATCCCCCAAGTGCTGCCCCCTAGGAGTTACTTCCTCCAGACAGTTTCCATCTCCCAAATGTTGGAGCCTGTGGGGATATGGCACATCTAAGCCACAACACTCATGAGGGATTAGTGTCACCTCTATGCAATGTCAGCTCATGCCTATGTTGCTTTCTGGAGTGGGCCCCTGCAGGTACCACACCACTGGCATTGCCCTGATGACTGACAGTGTGGGGTGTCTCGTGCGGCTGTGGTGAGGTGTCAGTTCGAATCCTCCTGCCTATTTTTCTTAGATCAGATTGTCTGTATTTGTATTATTAAAGTACATGCTCTTCATGACTTCTGAATGTCAAACATATTATTAACATAAATACTGCAAACCTTCTCCCCATGGGTGTCTCAGCTTTTCATTTTCTTCAGTGTTGAGCCTAGTGAAGCCCACTTTACCCTTTATCTTCAGTGACCCTCCCTGAAGGAGTTGTTTAACTCAGAACCACACAGATTTATTATTAGGCTCCTGCTGACGGTTGGGTGTGAAATGTCCCCCAGGACTTGGGTGTTTGAACACTCTTCCCTAGCTGGTAGTACTGTTTGGGGAGGTACCGGAATGTTTGGGGTTGAGACTTGGCAGGGTAGGGACAGAAGTACAGTTCTTTAAAGATTCTAGTCCCTCATGCTCCCAGCCCAAGCTCTCTGCTTCCTGGTTGGCCTACATAAGGAGCAGAGCTACATTCCCACCGGCCATGACTTCTTCACCCTTGAGCAATGAGCCAGGATAAGCCTGGCTTCCCTCAGGTTGCTTCCCCCAGATGTTTTCTCACAGCAAGGAGCATGACTAGCACCCCATGTTTCATTCTGAGTCAATTTTTGATGTCCTGAGTTGTTCCAGCTCCTTGCAGATAACTTTCCTGTGTTCACTGGGCCTTCTCAACCAGCACCTTGCTGAGCACACATGGGTGGGATTCTTCTGGATTCCAGTCAGTACCCTTTCTCTGTGGTTACTGTTACACCTCACACAGCACGCAGTTCAAGTAGTCTTGATTCAAATAATAGAAGTTCTCTGATTCTCTTTGCCTTTTTCAGGTTTGGTTGGCCACTCTGGGTCATCTATGCATCGCAGAAATATTGGAACCAGCCCATCAAATTTGACAGTAAAAGCTGCCCGGATTTTGACTGAGATTTCATTAAAGCCACAGATCACTTAGGGAGAATCAGACATTTAACATTCTGTCTTTGGGTCCATGAACGTGGTATACCTCTCCAGTCAATCATGTGGGATTTCTTTAATCTCTTTCAGAAATACTTCATCATCTTTAGATCTTACATATATTTTTAGTTAATCTGTTACTTCCTTTTTTGAATGTTTTAGTTGATGGTTTGCTTATTTACCTCCAACTCCCATTGCTTTTTTGTTTGTTTTATTATTTTGAGACAGGGTCTCACTATACATCCCTGGCTAGCTTGGAAGTGGCTATGTAGACCAGGATGGCCTTGAAGTCATATAGATTCTCTGACCTCTGTGTCCTGATGGTGAGATTAAAGGCAGGCATCACCACACCCCACTATCTCCTACACTTGATTACAATTATCTAGAAATATAGTTCATCTCATAAAGTGAGGTGTGTGTGTGTGTGTGTGTGTGTGTGTGTGTGTGTGTGTATTCGCGCGTGCATGTGCACATGCATGCCCATGGGTCTCATCCTCTGTGTTCTCGTGCACAGTGAGATTGGTATCATTTCTCCCATAAAGAATGAGAATCTGATTGTGAGGCCTCTTGGAATCAGTGTTTTCTTGGTAATGGTTTTTACTTAAGACTTTAATCTCTTTGCCTGCTACAGGGCTGCTCTGATCTTTGGTTTTTCTCATGTTAGTTTTACAGTCTCTGTCTTTCCAATGACTTGGTTGTTCCCTTTGTACTGCTGAATGTGTCCACGTGAGACCATTGCCTTCTGCATTGTCCCTTTGGTGTCCACAGACTCTGGGCTGACGACCCTTTCCTTTTCTAATATGGGTCATTTACTTCTTCCTTTTTCTTGACCAGTAAAGCTAGATAAAAGTGTCCATTTTGTCATCCCGAAATGCAAGACCCTGGCCTCGGCTGTTTCCTCTTGGAGCTGCCTGTTCCCACTGCTCATGGCCTTCATTTAGCTGGCTATTTGAGGCTTCTCTGTACCTCATCTCCAGCTTTGAGTCAAAGCACAGGCCTCCCTTGCTTACCAAGAACAATCACAGAGCGCCACTCCCTACATGCTGTGCTAGCTTGATCTCGGAGTGAAACGTGTGATTTCATTTTTGTTTTTCTCAGAATACATTCTGATTCCCATGGTGATTTTATCTTTGGCTCGTGGGCTAATTTTACACATTCTCTTTAATTTCCACATGCTTGCAGCTCTCCCATGGGTGACTCCTTGCTCTCCTGAGGTCTGGATACAGTCTGGATTTTAGTCCGTGAGATGGGCTGAGTCTCACGGGGCTGAGGAGGTGGCTTATTTTGTGTGTGTTCAGGTATGCTTAAACGAAGCTTTCCACTGTTGGCCGGGACATTGTTTAGATGTCAGTCGACGGGCGGCTGTTGGGCGCTTTCTCTTTACTCAGCTTCCTGGCCCAGACTTTCCTCTCATACTACGGTTTTACGTGCGTCAGGCTGCTCAATGCTATACCCGCAGCTCCGGCTCTGCCTTGCCCTTGACTCTGGCTCCATGTACCTCTTTAGATGTTGCTCGAGGTCCTTCTTTGGAGAACTTCATCTGCAGGTTCTTATCTTCCATGTTGTCTCATCTTCGATCATTTTGGGTTTTCTTGCTGCTCCTCGGTTTTTCAGCTCTCAGTGTCTGTTTTGTTCTCGGCCTTCCCTGAGTACACTCCTGCTTTTGGTCTGGTCCTCACACATCATTAATACCCTGATTTTACTCTCTATCTACTAATTTCACTGGTTCTGCCATTCTGGATTTCTTTCTGTCCATTGCTTCCATCCTGGACTGTGCTGGCCTGCTCTGTAGATTATTTCCCACCATGGCCTGAGCATGCTGTTCTGTCCTGTGGGTTCCCCTCACCCCACTGAAGGGTGATGTCTCCTCCCTGGAGGGACACTCCTGTGAGCCAGCTCTATCTTCTCATGGGTCCCTATTGGTGTCACTCTGATGGGGTTGACCACAGTTTATGCCTGGGGACAAGGTCAACACCATGACCAGGATGAGCTGCTTCTGCATGTAGACCTAATGCTTTTAGCCCTGGGGTAGGTCCCCTGCTCTGGCCATCTCCAGCCTGTGGTGAGCCTGGGCAACTGCTCTCATTCACAGTGCCCATGCACGACTGCCCAGCCTCAGGACATAGAGGACATAGAGTACCCCACAGTGCATCAATTCCTTGCTCTCCTGCACCTCACCTACCAAGTCCATCCAGCTAGAGCTCCCTGAGTTCTGCTATCCACCTTTCTGGCTTGAGAAAGCCTCCTGCACTGGGAGTCAGTCCTGTGTGGTCTGGAGCCAAGGCTGTACACAGATGATGTGGGCTGGGCTCCCTTCCTATGGGATCATGATCCTCCCGCCAGGCTGTACAGTGTGTGTGCAGTGGCTTCCCATCTTTATAGTTTCTAGGATGAGAGGTCACGCAAGGCCATAGGATGCAGTGAGGCCATTCCTCGTGTTTGAGGACAGGATATCTTTGAGTCCCAAGTGTGCTTTCCTCTGTGACTCCTCAGGATCTGTCTCTGACCCACCCTACCTGGCCTGACCCACCCTGCTGCCCAGGCCTGGTCTATGCAGCCAGCATCTCCCCAGAAGGAAACCTGACAGCAGATCCAGGGTGGGGTGCCTCCATCCCTGCTGCTGAGCTCTACGCACCAAGTGACTCTCACTGAGAAAACAGAGTGAGCCTATTGTCTCATTGGTAGTTAATTGTATCGAGTGAAGATTTCTCATAGCAATAAAATAAGATGGGGAGTGAGAACAAAATAAGGTACCCCCCCTTCAACTTGATAATTAACCCCAGGTCAGAGTTGACCCTGGATGAAACTCAGCAGGGGCAGGGCAGTGTGACATCCCTCATCTGGGGGTCACAGCAACAGCAACACGGAGTCCCTGGGCCAGTGTCTCTGCCCCCAGCCTATGTCCAGTAACCATCACGGTCACATGTGGGGTGAGACATGACTTCAGGACATAGCAGGGTGAAAGGGAGGCCAGAGAAGGCCTCGGGGCACGAGGCAGCTTTCTGTCACTGCAAACAACACTTGAGCTCACTGGTTTCTTTGGGTTCACAGTTTTAGAGGTGTCAGTCCATAGTGGGCTAGCCTGTGGTCAGGAGTCTTGTGATGATAAGAGCATGAGGTGGGGGAGGCCACTAACCTATGTTTGGAAGGACAGAGATGAGGCCCCTGCCGTCCTGCCACGCACTCTCAAAGACCTTGGGTGGCAGCAGATCTCTGTCCATGCTACAGACTCCGCTGCCTCCCAGAGTGCAGGGAGAGCACAGGCCTCGGGGCACCCACAGCCACACCAGCCTCTGTCCCTTGTGATGCAGCTGACTGATTGGGAGTCTAGATCGTAGCCTCACTGAATGAAGCACTGAAGCGTCCCTCGGCGTGAACCAGTCTCCATGCTCTCAGGCCTCAGGCAGTGCACCAGTGGCTGCATGAGGATGTGACATGTCAGGGTGGCACAGTGCCCCCCACATCTACAGCAATTTCTTCCTGCTTATGTGGCCTTCAACAAATGTATTAACACCTGGACCTGGGTGGTGTCCTCTCCTCAGCCACAGGGAAGGCAGGGGTATTTCCCATAGAACAGGCTCAGGAGCTGTTTTCAATCTGGTCCCAGGTGCTGTGAGCCATGCATTGAGCTTGTGGCTGGTGCCAGGCCCATGGACACCTGCCATATCCCAGAACTGCATATCCCAGAACTAGAACTTCAACATGGGGCATCGCTTCCCACTCTCACCCTCTGCAAGCTGAGTTCACTGGATGGTCACTGGCATAGAGTCAGGACCATCCCGGCCTGCCAACACATCCTCATCTAAAACAAGATTCTAGATAACTGAAGATATGGCAGACTTCTCAGTGTGCCTGGCCTGTGTGCTCCATCACAGTGTACCTGGCCTGTGTGCTCCATCACAATGTGCTCCATCACAGTGTGCCTGGCCTGTGTGCTCCATCACAGTGTGCCTGGCCTGTGTGCTCCATCACAGTGTACCTGGCCTGTGTGCTCCATCACAGTGTACCTGACCTGTGTGCTCCATCACAGTGTGCCTGACCTGTGTGCTCCATCACAGTGTGCCTGACCTGTGTGCTCCATTACAATGTGCTCCATCACAATGTACTCTCAGTGTGCCTGACTTGTGTGCTCCATCACAGTATGCTCCATCACAGTGTGCTTCATCACAGTGGGCCTGGCCTGCGTGCTCCATCACAATGTGCTCCATCACCATGTGCTCTCAGTGTGCCTGACCTGTGTGCTCCATCACAGTGTGCTTACTCTCCAATCACAGCCCATGTCCTCCCACACATTGAAGGTCTCTGCATTTAGAACCAAGTGAAGTCTAGAGGCAGGGACACGTCTACTCACAAGGCCCATGGCCCAGACCTGATTCCAGTTGCTAGCACCACTGAACTGGGCACAGCAGCAGACCGCAGGCGAGCTGAGGCAGCACTTGGCAAACACTCAGGAAGGAGGCAGCTGGGCTGCTCTGGGAAGCACAGGGCATGGAAGCACCTGTTCAGGTTTGATTGGCACTGTCCAGAGGAGGCACAGTTACAAAGCAAGGTGACAGAGGGAACTGTTCCCTGAACTAGCACAGATAGGTTCCAAAGCACAGCAGATTGCCAGATGCAAAGGAGAAGCCATGAGATGTCGATAAGGACCATGGGAGTCTATACTGGTTCAGTCAAGGTTTTTATTGCTCAGAAGGCTCAAGTGTATTCAGAGAAGGGACAGTCACAATGAGGTGAGATTGCTGGACCTGGAAAGGTCAGAGGCAGAGAGAGGAGGGCACTGCCATGGTCTGCCCTGCTGCATAGAGCACGGAATATGGACATTCTTCTGTGAGCTCTGGTTCCTTGGCATTCACTGTAAACACAGGAAATGCTCTCACTGGGGGACAGGTCAGCAGCAGCTGGACTTCTGGCCTGAGGAGAGGCCACAGCAGGCCTGGCGGGAGCAGGCAGGGCTACAGAGCAGGGACACACTGGAGCAGGGCTTGCAGCAGCTGGGCTGGCAGGAAGAGGCACAGCAGGAGGAGGTGGGCACACAGCAGGCAGGTCTGCACACAGGGCGGCAGAGCAGGGACACGCTGGAGCAGGGCTTGCAGCAGACAGGCTTGCAGCAGACAGGCACACAGCAGGAAGATTGACAGCATGAGGGCTGGCAGCTAGACTGCTGGCAGCATGAGGAGGATCCAGAGCAGATGGGTGTGCAGCAGACAGGCTTGCAGCAGACAGGCACACAGCAGGAGGATTGACAGCATGAGGGCTGGCAGCTAGACTGCTGGCAGCATGAGGAGGATCCAGAGCAGATGGGTGTGCAGCAGACAGGCTTGCAGCAGACAGGCACACAGCAGGAGGATTGACAGCATGAGGGCTGGCAGCTAGACTGCTGGCAGCATGAGGGTGTGCAGCAGACAGATTGGCAGCAGGGGCTGGACACACAGCTCACTGGGGTGCAGATAAGAGTAGTGCAGGGGGCTGGGGCACAGCAGCTGGGCACACAGCAGCTGGGCTGGCAGCAACTGGGGGCACAGCAGCTGGACTGGCAGCAGCTGGGCTGGCAGCAGCTGGGGGCACAGCAGGTAGGCTCACAGCAGCTCTCTGGGCAGTCGTCCACCTGCCAGGAGGAGTTGGTGCAGGCGTCAGAGCAGACAGACATGGTGGAGGCGGCCATGGTGGGGTTGGCTGGAGGAAGGTGAGTTTGTGAGAGAGTGAGTGTTGAGTGTGTATGTGAAGTGCTGAGCCCTCGGCTTTTATTCCCCTTGGTGGCTCTAGCCTTCCTCGTTTGGTGACCCAGCAGTCTCATTAACAGTTCCTTGTTTAGCTGTGAACTGTCACTCACCTTGTAAACATCCTGAGTCTGTGTAAATCTGCTGCTCTTCCCCAACTCTGAGATGGACAGAATGCATATTTGCAAGCAGGTCCTTCAGAGGCTGTGTGGGAAAACCCCTACATCTCTACTCCCTAGGACAACACCAGAGACAGCCATGGGTTCCCCTGAAGACTCAGCTATCTGAGGGGCTGAGCTTAGGGAGCCCAGCAAGAGGGTCCTGGTCACAGGAGCTCTGTGGGTCATGTTTGTAGAATCAATTCTCAGTGCAGAAAGTTTCCAAGGGTCAGTACGTAGTGTGTGCAAAGCTGTTGTCCAAGAAACAGTGACAGATTGTGGCGGGGTGGGGGGGCTGAATGTCCCTACCCCTGTGTTCATGTGCAGGTGTTCCCAGGCTTGTACTGTGGTGGGCCACGCCCCATAGCAAGGGCCAGCATGCAGCAGCTGAGGATGCTGATGTCTTGAGAGTGCTTCTCATGCTTAGAAGAAACCACACCTCACAACCTATCCATAGATAGGATGCCTAAAGATGAGGCTCCACAGCCAAAAAGAAACTGAGGCACTCAGTCTTAAACGTCTCAGTGGCCACATGAGTGGGAAGGGGATCTGCCCAATGGAATCACTAGGGGGTGCTTTGATACAGCTCCACAGAGCCAGGTTCTGCAAAAAACAGATTCCCAACATACATGCTGTGAGGCAAATATGTGTTATTTTGAATCACACCAAACAGGGGATGCACCTATGGACCAATCTAGAACTCTGTCAGCTGTAAATGAGACAAATCTTTACAAAGTCACAGAAAAGGAACTTCTTGAATTAAGATGAAAACAATGTGGTGGGTTAGGTATGATATAGTTTGTGTTGTTAAACTCTATAAACATATTTATGTGTACACATACATATTATATGCACACATAGAGGATGGATAGATAGATGATGAATGATGGATGGACAAGCAGATGAATAAGTAGATAGACGAATAGATGGATGAGTGGATAGATGGGTGAGTGGGTAGATGAATGAGCAAGGAGATGGATGGGCTAGTGTATGGGTAAGTTGATGGGTAGATGAATGGATGGATGAGGGGGTAGGTGGATGAATAAGTGAGTAAGATGGATGGATACATGAGAAGATAGATGAGTAGTTTGCTGTGTGGATTGGCTGGGTGAGTAAATGGATATATAAGTGAGTTGATGGATACATGCATAGGTGGGTGGATGGGTAGGTGGGTAGATAGGTAAATATATGGGTGAATGAGTCAGTAGATGAATGAGTAAGTAGATGGATAGATAGGATAGTGGATGAGTAAGTGGATAGATGGATGGGTGGTGGGTGAGTGAATGAAATGATGTATGGATGTAGATGAATGGATTGGATTGACAGTGGGTGGGTGAATGGTTGGTAGATGATGAGGGGATAAGTACATAGATGAGTGGGTGGTGGATGGATGGATACATGGGTGGATGGGTACATTGATAGATGGATAGATAAATGGGTGAGTAAGTAGGTGGGTGAGTGAATGAATGTGTTAGTGGATAGATGAGTGTGTTAGTGGATGGATGAGTGTGTTAGTAGATAGATGAATGTGTTAGTGGATGGATGAATGCATGATGATAGATAGGTGGATGGGTTGGTGGATGGATGGATGAGTAGATGGATAGATAGCTGGATGGATGAATAAGTGATTGAGTGAGTGGATGGATGGATGGATGGATGGATGGATGGATGGATGGATGGACAGATATATAAATAGATGAGTAGGTAGGTGCATGAATGAGTGGTTGGATGGATAGGCAAAAAGTCAATCCTCACCATTTGTGGATTCTATTTTTTACTTTCTGACATTTATCTGCATCTCCAAATCTACTTGTGATCTTTCTGTGGCTATCCATGAATAGACACAGAGCAGGGAATCTTAAGGTACATGCTCCCAGCTGGGTAGAATGTAATAATAATAGGGCTCTGCCTTCTGGTTTTGACTCATCCTGAAAACAAGCCTCATTGTCTCCTTGGTGACAAGTTTTCTGGGGTTGTGCTATCCTCTTGGTAGGGAATGCCCCTGAATGGTGCTGAACCATCATGTCCTGTGACATTACTACTACAGGGCACTTCATAGAGAGTCCACAAGATCTGACACAGGTGTGAGGCCAGTGGTGATGAGTCTGCCATGTGGATGGCTCAAGGAGCCTTTGGACAGAAGCACATCAGACAAGCTCCCGTGTAGCTCATGGAATGACCAGAGACCAGACAAGCTCCCATGTGGCACATGTGATGACCAGAGGCTCATGGAAAACTGATCCTGTGTGAACCCCAGCAGCAACTGGCTAGCATCTGCTGAATCATGGCTAGTGCCTCACAGAACACAACCACTAGGGTGAGGAGAATGGGCTCCGAATATGTGCATGTGTGCATGTGTGTGCATATGTGTAGTGAGACAGAGAGATGGAAATGGAGTGCATGGGAGCAACTGCTTCCAGAGGACACTGGCCAGCACCAGCTTTGGATGACACACAGTTTAACTTCCAGATGCATCTTCTACACTGGACTCTGTATACATATGTGACCTAACTTTAAAGCAGTGGCTGTAGACACACATCCCAGTGCTTGAGTGGCAAAGCTGGGTGACTGGTGGGCAGGTTAGCAGTTTTGGAGGATGGAGTAGACAAGGGATGGCTGGAGAGCACTGAGCAGTGAGACAGAGCTGCAGAGGTTCCTGGCCCATGAGGTGTTCCTATGGTTTTGACAGATCATGAACCTCCTTGAGGTTAGAAACTGAGAGCCCAGCCAGGAACTGCTAGCCTTCTTGAGTATGTAGGGGCCAAACTTATCATTCTGCAGCCCTAAGTACAAAGACAGGGTGGACACAGGCAAAGGGCAGGGTGGACACAGGGCAGGGTGGACACAGGCACAGGGCAGGGTGGACACAGGGCAGGGTGGACACAGGCACAGGGCAGGGTGGACACAGGGCAGGGTGGACACAGAGAGGTGCAGGAGCTGAGGAGACTCTCTAGGGGTGGGAGTTACAGGCCAGTCACTGCACCCTCAACCCAATGGCTCTACACATGTCACTGCACACCTCTGGTCTCGGCACGGTCATGAGTGACAACCGTCCTCACCAGAGCTGGACTATGGGAGGAGTACTGGCCTGAGGACATTGTTCTTCCGCCACTACTTCTTGAGAGGGGACGAGGGTCCTGGCATCTGGCCATGGCCGGATGACATCCCTGCTGCCATAGGATGGCTGGGAGAGTCCCACCAGTGACACCCCAACCTCACTGCTCACAGAGCCTCACCTAACTGTCCCACCACTGTCCCCAGCACCACCCACTGGCAGGAGACAGACAGGCCTGACAACAACATCCCAGACAAACAAACACCCTGATGATGACCATGAGCCACACCAACAAGGAAGGGAGGCCAAGCCAGACAGCAGCAGCACAGGGGGATAAAAGCTGATGGCCCAGCACCTCACACACACTCACACTCAACACTCACTCACTCCTCACTCTACTCCAGCCAACCCTGCCATGGCCGCCTCCACCATGTCTGTCTGCTCTGACGCTTGTACCAACTCCTCCTGGCAGGTGGACGACTGCCCAGAGAGCTGCTGTGAGCCTACCTGCTGTGCCCCCAGCTGCTGCCAGTCCTGCTGCTGCCAGCCCAGCTGCTGTGCCCCAGCCCCCTGCCTGACCCTTATCTGCACCCCAGTGAGCTGTGTGTCCAGCCCCTGCTGCCAATCTGTCTGCTGCACACCCTCATGCTGCCAACAGTCTAGCTGCCAGCCAGCTTGCTGCACCTGCTCCCCCTGCCAGCCGTCCTGCTGTGTGACTCTTTGCTGCAAGCCTGTCTGCTGCACACCCATCTGTTCTGGATCCTCCTCATGCTGCCAGCAGTCTAGCTGCCAGCCCTCATGCTGTCACTCTTCCTGCTGTGTGCCTGTCTGCTGCAAGCCTGTCTGCTGCACACCCATCTGCTCTGGGTCCTCCTCATGCTGCCAGCAGTCTAGCTGCCAGCCCTCATGCTGTCAATCTTCCTGCTGTGTGCCTGTCTGCTGCAAGCCTGTCTGCTGCAAGCCCTGCTCCAGCGTGTCCCTGCTCTGCCGCCCTGTGTGCAGACCTGCCTGCTGTGTGCCCACCTCCTCCTGCTGTGCCTCCTCCTGCCAGCCCAGCTGCTGCTGCCCAGCCTCCTGTGTGTCCCTGCTCTGCCGCCCTGCCTGCTCCTGCCCTACCTGCTGAGTCCTCTCATCAGGTCAGAAGTCCAGCTGCTGAATGGGCTCTGTTGTCAACGTGGAGCTTTGGAGCTCCCTCTCACCGGACCCCTGGCTTCTCCGCTAGTGACCAGCAACTGTCTACATAACCCCTCCAGGGTCTTGCAGGGCCTCGGCTGTCACTTGCTTGCCCCTCCCTCACTTTGGGAGAAGTCCCCAGCTCCTAGTCAGGGAACCTCCCGGCCCTGTCACAGTGAGCAGCACGGCTCTCTACAGTCTAGCCCTCTGTGTAGCAAAACAGAAGCAGAAGCCACTTAGGAGACAGACTCTCAGCCAATTCCTTGGGTCTGTGGCAGGGCTCCGCTGTGCATAGGCCAGCCCTGGCTCTTCTGGATTCTCAGCCTCCCATCCAATCCCCCTTCAGCTGCACCTGTCATATTCCAATAAACTGCTTGACAAACCTAACCAAGATTGTCTCTGGGCTCACATGAATGCTCAAATTCCCACCCCCAGCTGCTCACAAGGGCACTGAGCCCGTCCCTTGCCATGGTGTCAGAAGCCAGCATTCCCTGTCCATAGGTATGTCCAAGGGATAAACTTGTGTTCAGGGACACAACAGTAGCACCTATCCTGGGCATGACTTTGGCTACCCTGACTCCCCCAAACTTCCCGGTCCTAGGAGCTGTTCTTTGTAGAGGACTTGGGTATGGGAGGCTCCTACCATACAGTCTCACTGGTCTATGGTCTTCATAAAACAGCATGGCTGGATACCTGCTCTCCCAAGGGATTGTGGGCCTTTGGTGCACGGCAGGGGTGTTTGATGACCACTCACAGAAACCCTGGTCACAAATCTAAAGCACACCTTGATGACATTTTGCATGGGCCATCTATCCTTGCTAGGGGTGCTGAGGACATTCCCTGGAGAGCCCCTGTCCCTGCTTCCTGGGACTTGACCCCAAGCTCCTTTTCTTGGCTGGGAGTACCCTCTCTGGCCTGGACTTGTGGCCTGGTCTAGCCTGTTACAGTTAGGGCCACACAGTGGTATCTGGAAACTAAACTGCTCGCAATAATCTGCCATCTCCAGGCCACAGCTCTCAGAGCATGTCTGTTCTATAGCGCCTTGGAGGCATGGGTGTGGAGGTGGAGGATATGCCCTAGGAAGGGATTCTGGGAGCAGAAAGAGCCTCACAGTCTCAAGCTCCTGAGACACTCTGTTCTGGGCCCTGCAGATGACGGTTACCTTCACTAATAGCATGTAACTGACAAAGGACCCAAATTCTGAATTTGCAATGAAACTAAATTAAAGGAACAAAAGATGTGGCAGTAGGCACTTACGGAGACACCTTGTGACCAAAAGTCATTCCCACCCGTGACAAGAAGACATAGATGAGCAAAAAAGAGAGAGAGAGCTGGAACCTTTAAGATGGCTGGTCACCGTGTGGCCAAAGCATACAGACAGACAGAATGACTTCACTTGAAACAGGCAGGGAGGCAAGTGGTCATTTCCGTTCTAAACATCTACAGTGAGTCCATGAAACACTCAGAAATGAACAAAAGAGCAATGTCCCCCACATGTCCTCTCCAGAGTATGGGGACAACGGCTCCTAGGGAGCTGAGCAAGTCAGCAACCACTGAGATGCGTCAGCCGGGCTGCTTGGTTCATGTGCGCTGGGTACGTTATGTTCTGTATTGTCTGCTGCTGATGAGCTGTAATAAAATACTAAGAAAAAGACGTTATAAAGTCCACTCTCCTGAACCACAGTTAATAAAACAAACTCATAACCATAAAATGAAAGTCATCTTTGGGAAATCTAAAGACACCCCCTCTAGCCAATTCAAAAGTGAAGATACATGGTGGACCCAGCAGCGAGTGTGGACATGCATCATGGACCAAACAGTGAATGTGGATGAGCTGCTTCTCTGAACACAGTTAATGTGGGAGAGAGAGGTGGGACTCAGAAGAAAATCAAATCCTTAGGTAATACAAATGAGCAGGATTGAAAGTAAGAGTTCAGCCCACAAAACCACAAGCGCTTCCACAATGAAATTCTACAAGGGAAATTTTAAATTTTAGAAGACAACTGGGGAGATCCAGAAACTAGTGGAGTGTTGTCTTCTCAGGCATGAGGACCCTGGAGCCCATATTTATAAAATAGTGGGGCATGGCCACAGGCACCGTAATCCCAGGGCTGGGGAGGCAGAGGCAGGAGGGTCCCCGAGGCTCCCTGGCCAGCTAGTCTGTCTGAATTGGTGGGCTCTGGAGTTAGAGAAAGATCTTATTTCAAAAAAATGAGGTGGACAGTGACAAAGGAAAGCATCCTCTCTCAACATCTGGCCTGTACATGCACACACAAAATACACAAACAAATGACAGGTAAGGCAGGAATTGTAGATCTAAGTAAAACTGATGAGTTGCTGATGAAAGACAATACAAATTGAAACACTGGCAAATCCAGAAGAGAAAAATGATGATAAAGATCAATTGTGACAAAATTAATAATAAAAGTATTTAATGTACAATTTGAACGATATTATTACAATACCAACCTCCGGGATAAGACAGTGAGCTAAGCGCTGCCTCCACGTGACTACTCTGGACTCTTCCAGATGACTCTGGCTGTTCTTTCTCTCTTATTCACAATAACAACCCCCCCCCATAATAGAGCAGCCATTTTGAGTGATTTATTTACTGAGCCCCCTGGCATACATATACATTGCCTGATTTCATAAGCCACAGCAATAAGACATGATAAAGAAATGGGATACAAATAGGAGAGAGACAAAATCAAAATGTCCTTATTTTTAGACAGTATTTCTATGTAAAAGCCCCCAGTGATTCCGCCAGAAATGCTTAAATCTGATAAACCCTTGTGGCAGAATCTACAATCACCACACAGACATTCCAATGATGAACAGACTGAGAAAAAAAAGCAAGACTCAGAACCCTACTTTCAACTGTCTCAGAGAACAAAATACTTACAAATAAACCAAGGAGTTGAAAGGAAGAGGGGGACGAGCCCTAGTGGAAAGGAGGACTTCCCATGGTCACAGAGCTGAGAACCAGTAACGTGAAAATGGTGTGTTACAAAATCAACCTGTAGAGTCAATGCACGCTCATTAAAATTCCAACAGCCTTCTCTAAGAGAAATAGGAAAGTAAGTCCTAAAATTCATGAGGAAGCACAAAAGAACTTGAATTTTTTTTTCCAAGACAGGGTCTCTCTGTATATCCCTGGCTGTCCTGGAATTTACTCTGTAGACCAGACTGGCCTCCAACTCAGAGATCTGCCTGCCTCTGCCTCCCAAGTGCAGAGATTAAGGTGTACACCATCACACCCACACTTGAAAGACTTTGAATTTTTAAAGCATACCTGAACACAAAGATCAAGGCTGGAGGTGTCACACTGACTCATCTCAAACTGTACAACAGTTGTAAGTCCTGAAAGCAGCAGTTTGCCAGAACAAAAGTAGACATGTACACCAGCGAAATAGAAGACCCAACTACAGAAAGAAGATGCCAGGAGGCTGGAGAGATGGCTCTGTGGAAAAAGTGCTTTCTGCACAAATGTGTTGACCAGAGTAGACTCCCAGCACTCAGGTGAAAGCTGGGTACAGCTGCAAGTGTCTCTACCTTCAGCACCGGGGAGGCAGAGGCAGGGGGGATCCCTGGAGCTCACCGGCCAGCCAGTCTAGCTGAATTGGTGAGCTACAGGTTCAGTGAGAGATTCCCATCTCAAAAAAATAAAGTGACGAGTGACTGAGGAAGATACTCAGTGTTGACCTCTAGACCCCCTCCCCACAACTACAAACTGTGCCAAAAATATCTCTGGGGAAAGACAGCCTTTTCAGCTAAAGGTGCTAGGAAAACTGGATTGTAGTTCATGCTATGGATCACAAGAATAGAACCCATTCCCAGAAAGCCTTCAAAGCCTCCAAATTATGGGCATCAACCCAGAAAGAAATCACAAGGAGCCGTCACTGAAGAAAAATGAAGGAAAAGACACAGGAATAGTAAGGAAGACACAGGACGGGGGCCAAAGGCTGGGGGGCCAAGGGCTGGGGGAGGGCCAAGGGCTGGGGGGCCAAGGGCTGGGGGAGGGTCAAGGGCTGGGGGAGGGTAAGGGTTGAGGGATAGCCAAGGGCTGGGGGAGGGTCAAGGGCTGGGGGAGGATAAGGGTTGAGGGATGGCCAAGGGCTGGGAGGCGGTAGCACCAAGGGCTGAGATGGGTCCAGCCCTGAGAGATGAGGAAAGTTGAGCGTTGGGTTGGGTTGGGTCTGAGGCCTGTCAACTCAAACCGGCCTGTGAATTCAGAGTACTAGAAGTGATGTTTACAAGAAATAACACAATCAGCTACTGGAGGTGTTTGTGTCCCCAGAGCTTGGGGACACTTAGGGGACAATCCGGGAAGATGTAATGACCGGAGTCAAGAGAGAGAAGCAAAACCGAAATGCACGTGAATACACAGATTAGGCCTGTCTGCCCACACAGAAACATTCAACGAAGATAATACTGAGATAGACATAAAATAAAGTAACATTTAACCATAAATGGTGGGTGCTCTGGTTTAAGTGCACACTGAGGGGGTACTGTCTTCAGCACGGAAGGAAGGGCTCCCAGGAGGTGACAGTGTGAGAGAATGCTGTCCTCCACAGTAGGGAGTTGGGTCATATCTAAAGACAAAAAGTAAAAACAAAAACAAAACCCAAAACAAAAAAAAAACAGAATGAGCATGCTATTTTAATAAGTAATTGTACAAAGAGTGTGGGATGGAGAAGAGGGACCCTGGGTCTGTGGGATGGAGGAGAGGGACCCCTGAGTCTGTGGGATGGAGGAAAGGGACCTGCTGGGTCTGTGGGATGGAGGAGAGGAACCCTGGGTCTGAGGGATGGAGGAGAGGGACCCACTGGGTCTGTGGGATGGAGGAGAGGAACCCCTGGGTCTGTGGGATGGAGGAGAGGGACTCCTGGGTCTGTGGGATGGAGGAGAGGGACTCCTGGGTCTGTGGGATGGAGGAGAGGGACTCCTGGGTCTGTGGGATGGAGGAGAGGAACCCCTGGGTCTGTGGGATGGAGGAGAGGGACCCCTGGGTCTGTGGGATGGAGGAGAGGGACTCCTGGGTCTGTGGGATGGAGGAGAGGAACCCCTGGGTCTGTGGGATGGAGGAGAGGGACTCCTGGGTCTGTGGGATGGAGGAGAGAAACCCTGGGTCTGTGGGATGGAAGAGAAGGTGGTCACCACCTGCAGGAACAGAGGGGCCTGCAGCGTGGGGAGGGCATGACACCAGGCCTGCTGGAGCTTGCGTTCCTGAAGATAATGTGGGAGACAGCAGAGGAAATTCACAGTCCCCGGCTCCATCTAGTCATAGTGTCACATGGCCACTAGGATAAGGATGTGCCTTGGCCCAGCTGTGACCCACGCTCCCAGCCGTAAACTGGCTGCTGTTGTCTGGAAACCGGATGAACAACAAGGAAAGGAAAGATGGCCACTCATGAGGACAGGTACGTGGGAGGAGCATAAAAACCCCAGGGCCAGGCACCTCACACAAACACGCTCACTCCCACTCCCACAGGCACTCCTCCCAGTCCAACCCCCACCATGGCTGACACCTGCTGCACGAGGACCTGCGTGATTGCTGCATCCACCACATCTGTCTGCTCTAGCAATCTGAGCTGCGGCAGCCGGATCTGCTCTCCCGGCGCCTGCACGGGTGCCTCCTGGCAGGTGGACAATTGCCAGGAGAGCTATTGTGAGCCCCCATGCTGTGCCCCCAGCTGCTGTGCCCCAACCCCTTGCCTCCTCTGCACCCCAGTGAGCTGTGGGTCCAGCCCCTGCTGCCAGTCTGCCTGCACCAGCTGCTGCACACCCTCATGCTGCCAGCAGTCTAGCTGCCAGCCAGCTTGCTGCACCTGCTCCCCCTGCCAACAGCCCTGTTGCGTTCCTCTCTCCTGCACACCTGTCTGTTGCACACCAATCTGTGGAGTTTCATCCTGCTGTCAGCCGTCCTGCTGCGTGCCTGTCTGCTGCAAGCCTGTCTGCTGCACACCCATCTGCTGCACACCCATCTGTTCTGGATCCTCATGCTGCCAGCAGTCTAGCTGCCAGCCCTCATGCTGCCAATCCTCCTGCTGTGTGCCTGTCTGCTGCAAACCTGTCTGCTGCAAGCCCTGCTCCAGCATGTCCCTGCTCTGCCGCCCTGTGTGCAGACCTGCCTGCTGTGTGCCCACCTCCTCCTGCTGTGCCTCCTCCTGCCAACCCAGCTGCTGCAAGCCCTGCTCCAGTGTGTCCCTGCTCTGCCGCCCTGCCTGCTCCCGTCAGGCCTGCTGTGGCCTCTCCTCGGGCCAGAAGTCCAGCTGCTGATGGGCCTGTTCCTGGTGCCAGCTGGCTCAGGTCCCTCCCTGTGGCCCCTCTCAGCCTCTCCGGTCTGCTCCTGATCTGAGATAGATGGTCTCCACAGAAGAGGGACACCACGTGTCCCCTGTACTGACCTGACCTCTCCTCCTACCTTCCCAGTCACTGAGTCCTTGTTCCTGTGCTGCTCTGGGTCACTTGCCCTGACGTTAGCACCGCACAACACCAATAAATCCATGGCCACCCAACACTCTTCTGTGTCATTATTTTTCATATGTCTGAGATGAAACGTCTAGCACAGACAACAGGGAGGAAGGAATGGCCTCACTCAGGGGGAGGTGAGAATGAAACAGCTCTCTTCATAGTGTCCAGGAAGCAGAGAGAGATGTTTGTGTTTCATTCCCTCCTTTGTCCTTCTGTCCTTCCTGCTCCAGCCCATGGGATGGTATTGCTCACAGGCAGGGTGTATTCCCCTCAGGGAACCTGCTCTCAAAATGTCCTCTCAGACATACCCCAGAATGCACCTCAGTCTTCCAGTCAGGTAGGCTACGGGGAACAGCCATCTCTTCCCTCATGCTGTGAGGGCACGTGACCTCCATGGAGTACAGTCTCCCTTAACCACAGGCATATCTGGAACTGAGTGATCCCTCTTCTGAAGCTCAGGGCCTCTTCCCAGACAGATTCAACCAAAAAAGCCACATGTCCAGGACTCCCCAGGACTGGTCACCTACATATGTGGCCTATGCTGTCCATCTGTGCAAACTGGTCAGCACCAGGCTTCCTGTGGATGCAGGAAACAGGGCAGAGCTGCTGCAGCCTCGGCACCCTTAGGCCCTCTCTCTGGGTACTGCTAGCTGTCTGAAAATCCTTGTCACCAATGCTCCTGCTGTGACAAGCCTGCTTCCCTCGTCCTTGGAGCAGGTCTGCACCTTGGCAAGGGTGGAGCAGGATGTACAGGTACTCAGGGAGAGTACCCTGACTCCTGTCTGCTCCCAGCCCTTGGGTGTAGCCACCTTCCCTAGCAGCTCCATCAGTGTGACGACACTGAATCAGGATCTACCTGTCATAATTGGTCCTGGCTGTCATCTTAACTGTGCTGAGAGGTGGCCCGGAAATGGTGAGATGCAGCTCTGAGCATGCGTGTGATGGCATTTCCAGAGAGACCTAATATGCCCTGGTGCCTCACCCAGTGTTCCTGCACAGCCTGACTGCCCACCCTGTCTGCCAGCTCTCTTCTGCACAGGGATGCTTCCCCTGACACTGAATTGTGCTTTTGTGTCAGAGTGCTAGGACAGCCCTAGGAGACCAGAACTGGGTAGAGCTGAGAAGGCCCAGCTCTGAGCAGGCTGGGGGCATGGGTGACCCTCCTGAGTCAGGAGATGCAAGTATCTGTCAGTCATAGCTCCAGATTCACTTTCCCAGTGGCCATACGCCAGCCCTGGCCTCAGCTTAGTCAGGTCCATGCTGTGGGGTCTGAGGATGTCCTCATCCCTCTGCCCGTGGACAGTGTCTGGTAGACCCTGAGAAGGCTGTGGGCTCTTATCCAAGGGTTCACGGTCAACTGAACTCACAAACTTGGAGCAGCAACATGGCTGTGACCCAGAAACACTGGGATGTGGCCTCTCAGTGACCAGGTGATGTTCATGAGATGATGGACGAGCGTGTGGCCACTTGGCAGGAGGGAAGCTCACCTAAAGTGAGACACTCGTGGCCCTGCAGACTTTTGAGACAACAGACTCCAAGGAATTGGAATGTCCCTGGGAGTTTCATGCTGGAAGAAGGAAAAAGTTGAGCCTGGTCCTAGCCAGAGGAGGAGTTTGTCTCCCAGAATACCTTGTAGGAGCCCCCAGAGCCCAAACAATGATGGTGGGCAGCCCAAACACTGCTAGCTGTGCATGTCTCCTACCCTCTACTTCAATGTTACCCTGGTGTTGAAGGGGTGGTGTTTTCACTGGACCTCTCCTGCTCTTCCCTGTGTGGCTGCACTTTAAAAACAATCCCCTTTCTCTGCTGTTCACCAATCCTTGTATTATAATTGGTACATCAAGGCCAGTGGCAAGCCTGGCATGTCAGGGCTGCAGGGCTCTGAACCAGCTGCTAGAGAGAGTCTTGGCTGAGAGCCCAGACACATGGAAAGCTGTCAAACCTGGCTGGACAGGTCTGGACAGTTCCTTCCCTGTGGCCACATGGGCATCTGGAGACGGCTCAGTGGTTAAGAGCACTGACTGCTCTTCTAGAGGACCCGGGTTCAATTCCCAGCACCCACATGGCAGCTCACAACTGTCTTGTAACTCCTCACATAGACATACATGCAGGTCATACACCAATGCAAATAAAGTAAAAATAAATGAACTATTAAAAAAAAGACTGAACTCTGGGACACCTTAGTGTCTGTGAGAAAGGGGTTCATCCCTATCTCCCCGACACCCAGCCATGGTGAAGGACAAAAGTAGCATTCACTGGGCATCAGGGACAAGTTGATAAAGGCACAAAATTGCCCAGTCCTTTGGATAGGCCAGAATAAAATAAAGCCAATCACTCGAGTGTGAGCTCACTATGAAGATGTAAGAATTGGTAGCATGGCCTCAGATGACACAGTCTTAGGGTCATGGTCTTAGAACACATGGGTCTTTTGTCACCTCAGACTCCCTTTTCCCCACAATCCAGTGACTCTGGGATATCTAATCTATAGAAAGAGATGAGGGGACAGAACACCAAGACACAGCTCGGCTGGGACCCACACTCAGCCCGTGTCAACCATGGGAGTCAAACAGCATATGTTCCACAGACAGAATCCAGGACCGAGCACCCACACTCCTGAAATGGAGGCAGGGGTGTGAAGCCATGCGTCTTGTCTGGGGACACATGCATCAGTACTTTGTGAAGACATGGAGAATGTCACCTCTTAGTGTATTTCCCAGAGAAATGGTTGGGGACCTTTCCTAAGTGTTACTGTGGAATAAATGACCCATTGGAACCCCCCCATCCCACCCCCAGCTTAGTTGGAATTCATAAATTCCACAGTTTTATAGCTCCACACCGCTTCCCTGGCACACTTCCCTACCTCAGAAAAGCTGAGGACAACTGGCAAGCGGCAGCCACCTGCCCTCAACACAGGCTTCCGGCAGTGACCCATATGCCCAGCCCTCTCTCATTCTAGCATATGGAACCACCTAGAACTCACTGCTGTGATCTTGGATTCATCCTTCCTCGGGTGCTCAGTACTCCCTGTCACCCGAGGACTACAATGTCGTAAAATGACAATGTCACTGAACAAAGCTACGTGCCAACTTCCCAAGAAGACACTGTATCATATTCTGAGTCTCCCTCCTGTGGTGGTATTGTGTTCCCCAAACTATTGTGCATCCTAATAAACTTATCTGGGGTCAGAGAAGAGAAAAGCCACTAGATACTTAGGATAGGCAGTGGTAGCACACGCCTTTAATCCTAGCATTCCAGAGGCAGAAATCCATCTGTTCAAGGATACAGCCAAGCATGGTGACTCACATCTTTAATCCAGAAAGCGAGCCTTTAATCCCAGGGAGTGATGGTAGAAAGCAGAAAGATATATAAGGCATGAGGGCCAGAAACTAGAAGCATTTGGCTGATTAAACTTTCAGGCTTCTAGCAGCAGTTCAGCTGAGACCCATTCTGGATGAGGACTCAGAGGCCTCCAGTCTGAGGAAACAAGACCAGCTGAGGATCTGGCGAGGTGAGGTAGCTGTGGCTTGTTCTGTCTCTCTGATCTTCCAGTTCATCCCAATACCTGGCTCCAGGTTTGATTTTATTAATAAGACTCTTTAAGATTGATGCTACACCCTCCCCAAAGCAGAATTTGACCAAGTGCAGGCACTGTCCTGTCCCCAACCACACTTCAACCAGCAGAGTCCTCCAAGTCCAGGCTGCAAAAGTCTTTATCAGGAACACCCTTCATGACACAGGTGACCATCTCAGGCAAGGCCATTAAGGACAGAGCCTCCTCTGGAACGCACTGCCAGACACTCACACACACAGAGCCATATTCCAGGCCATGTCCCCAGTGGTGCAAATTACCCAATCATCATAGAAAACTGTCAGGTATCGGACAAGAGAGGCGGGCCGTGTGCCAGCCAATGTGGCCCTGTGACAACAGGCCTAGCTGTGTGCACTGCATAGACACTCAGACCTGGGTCCCTTGACGTCAGGAAATAAACACCAGAGGAAGCTGTTGCTTACAGACACACTGGTCTCTGATGAGTTTCTCGCTGTTTTGGTGGTGGTGGTAGTGGTGGGGTTTTTATTTGTTTGTTTTGTTTTGTTGTTTGTTTTTTTAAGGCTTTGAGACAGGGTCTCAATAGCTAGTCCAGACTGGCCTCAACCTTGAGACCTGCCTGCCTCAGCCTCTCTGACTTCTGATGAGATCTTACAATGATTCTCCAATGACTCTTCCCTTTTCAGCTCCCCAGTAGCCATTGGTACGGGATGGTGCCTCCAGCTGGCCCTGAAGGGTATGGCCACCAGGCTGCCACCAGTGGCTGACATCTTGCACACTGGCAGAGGTGGATCTTTGAGCTACCAGGTTTGCTACCTGTATCTCTCTCCCAGAAACCAGGTCTCAGATTCCCACAGTCTCTCCACCTGGACAGAAGGTGCCAGCGAGCCTGCAGCAACCTCGCCACTCTTGGAGTTGAGCTCTCCACCTCGCCCTTGAGCTCCCAGCAAGCCCTGCTCCCCAGACCACCCAGGTCCAAAGCTGTGCTTGGTCAGGAAGAGGAACTTCCCATAATGCACACAACAGGAAGAAAGGTGCGTCTCCCTCTGGGAAAACACAGGTTGGAGGATAAAAGGCCCACAGGCCAGCACCTCACACACACTCACACTGAACACTCACTCACTCACAAACTCATCCTCCTCCAGCCAACCCCACCATGGCCGCCTCCACCATGTCTGTCTGCTCTGACGCCTGCACCAGCTCCTCCTGGCAGGTGGACGACTGCCCAGAGAGCTGCTGTGAGCCTACCTGCTGTGCCCCCAGCTGCTGCCAGTCCAGCTGCTGCCAGACCAGCTGCTGTGCCCCAGCCCCCTGCACTACTCTTATCTGCACCCCAGTGAGCTGTGTGTCCAGCCCCTGCTGCCAATCTGTCTGCTGCACACCCTCATGCTGCCAGCAGTCTAGCTGCCAGCCCTCATGCTGTCAATCTTCCTGTTGTGTGCCTGTCTGCTGCAAGCCTGTCTGCTGCACACCCATCTGCTCTGGATCCTCCTCATGCTGCCAGCAGTCTAGCTGCCAGCCCTCATGCTGTCAATCTTCCTGTTGTGTGCCTGTCTGCTGCAAGCCTGTCTGCTGCACACCCATCTGCTCTGGATCCTCCTCATGCTGCCAGCAGTCTAGCTGCCAGCCCTCATGCTGTCAATCTTCCTGCTGTGTGCCTGTCTGCTGCAAGCCTGTCTGCTGCACACCCATCTGCTCTGGATCCTCCTCATGCTGCCAGCAGTCTAGCTGCCAGCCCTCATGCTGTCAGTCTTCCTGCTGTGTGCCTGTCTGCTGCAAGCCTGTCTGCTGCACACCCATCTGCTCTGGATCCACATGCTGCCAGCAGTCTAGCTGCCAGCCCTCATGCTGTCAATCTTCCTGCTGTGTGCCTGTCTGCTGCACACCCATCTGTTCTGGATCCTCCTCATGCTGCCAGCAGTCTAGCTGCCAGCCCTCATGCTGCCAATCCTCCTGCTGTGTGCCTGTCTGCTGCAAACCTGTCTGCTGCAAGCCCTGCTCCAGCGTGTCCCTGCTCTGCCGCCCTGTGTGCAGACCTGCCTGCTGTGTGCCCACCTCCTCCTGCTGTGCCTCCTCCTGCCAGCCCAGCTGCTGCAAGCCCTGCTCCAGTGTGTCCCTGCTCTGCCACCCTGCCTGCTCCCGCCAGGCCTGCTGTGGCCTCTCCTCAGGCCAGAAGTCCAGCTGCTGAGAGCCAGGACCCACTGAGAGCAGTAGGGACTACTTCCCCAGCAGCCTGTAGTTTCCACACATGCAGGCACAGCTCAGAAGGAAGATATGTGCCATCTGAAGAGAAACCAGAGTGTAGCTCAACCACTTAGAAGGACCAGTGTGTTCCTCCTCCACCCGGCCCCAGGAGTGCTGGTCGCTCCCTTTCCCTCCCTGCCTATCTGGATGACCTGGCTTCTGTGGTCAGCTGTACCACTCTAGACCTCTGCACTTCAATAAAGTTTCCTCTGACCCACTCCATCTCTATTGTGACTGTCATCCTGGGGCCTCACTCTGGGGCCTATACCCCTTCCACCCTCCCTGTTGTGAAGCTTAGAGTCATTTCCTAGACCCACAGCTCCTGTCCCCTTGTTCCATACTCTGTACTAGGGTGGGGTTCCTCCTGCTCTAGTTCTGGACCTGTACTTTCCCATCTCTGGGGCCCAAGGAGTGACTCTGATAAACCCACTGAAAGGGCTTCATGTCGAGGGAGAGGCATGCTGTGGAGGGCAATGGAGGGTATGTCCTCATCCTGAGAGCCTAGGAGAAACTCAGCACTGTGACTTTCCAAGAATTCCAGGACTGAGGGAAGCTGCTCTGTGGATCCCACCACCTCATCTAGGTGCCAGCACAGTGCCTGTCACTAGCAAGGCAGAGTTGACCAGTATCTAACCAGAGACCAAGTACTTCAGGCCATGACCAGAGATGCTTATAAACATCATATCAGGTTTATGGTATCTGAAGAAACCCCATCACCATACAGAGGATGCTGTTCTGACATAGGAATTATACAGCAACCCCCCCCCCCCCCCGCTGTCTGTGCCACATCAGCCTGAGCTGCTAGAGTGTCCTACTCTTGTATAGCCCACAGAGACAATGGTCTGTCTGATTCCACTACAGACACATTGCTCCCAAACTCACTAATCCCAAAGGTGCTCCAGAGAGGTCACACTGTGGTACCTAGAGATCAACCCCCACTTCAAGGCAAATTGATGTCCCCAGACAGAAATGCCTTCAGGTAAGCCACTAAGACCATCCCTGACAGTGGCAGGGACATCCATTTCATCAGATGTACAAATTTCAACCCAGAACAAGGGATATGAAGAACACAGGCAATGTGACTTTTACAGCAATGATTTACAGGTGCCATTGATGTCGAAATGAGTGAAATGCCCAATAAAGGTTTTAAAAAACAGTTGTTAAAACACTCAATGAGCTGAGACCTAAGGTTATATAGATAAATTGTTAAATGAAATTAGGAAAACTATGTGGACTGTGAATGAGAAATTCAGGAAAGGGTTTTGTTGTTGTTGTGTTTTGTTTTGTTTTAATAAAAGAAACCAACCAGAAATCTTGAAAAGGAGGAGAGACATAATCCAGATAAAGAATTTAGCTGAAAGCCCCAGCAGCAGATTCAATCAAACAGAGCAAACTATGTCAGGGCTTGAAGACAGGTCTTTTGAAATATCACATTCAGACAGAAATAAGGTGGGGAGGGAATGGAGAGAGCATGGGAGATCTTTAGGACACCATCAATCATCAGTGTCACCATCACTGGCATACCTAAATGGGAAGAGAGAAAATTTCAGAGCATAAAAAAATCTACACAAAGGAACTGGAAAATTCCTTAGGAAAGATGTGGACACCCAGGGAAGGGAAGAAACTTCAAAGAACCTTAAACAGACTGATAGAAAAACCCTCACCACTGAATATTATAGTCTGGCTGTCAAACAGCAGGACAGAAAGTACTTAAAATATGCAAGAGAGAAGCACCTAGTCCCATTTGACAGCAACTCCCTCTCCCCCAGATCAGCTGCAGACTCCTGAGCAAAATTCTGCAGGCCAGAGAGTGTGGAACAGTGTGTTAAAGTCTTACAAGGAAATAACTGTCAACCAAGATTACAAGCCCAGCAAGCCTTCAGAATCAAAGAAGAAACAAAGACCTTCCCTGATAAGCAAAAATGAAGGGATTTCATTGCTAAGATACCAACCTTACAAAGAGAATCTTATACCCAGAAATGGCAGAAAGTATAAATTCCCTCAGAATAATACCAGAGAGAAATAGAAAAGGATCAAATGCTATCAATTCGGCAAACCATCAAATCACAAAGACAAATAAGAGAAGAAGAAAAGAAACAAAGACCACAAAACAGCTAGAAAAAAAGCAATGGTGCAAGCCCATACCTTCATCAATAACTCTGAATGTCAACAGTACTAATTTGTTAACTAAAAGGCAGAACAGCCGAATGGATTGAAAAACAAGATCCAATGGAATACTGCCTGCAAGAAATTCACAGCTCCAGAAAGATACATGGGCAGACAGCCTGAAGGAGGGGGATGAAAGTATCTTTTTAGGCAAATGGAACTTGAAAACCAGCAGGAGTGGCTATGCTTATCTTCAACAAAATAGAATTAATACAAGCAGAAAGGAGAGACAAACATGTAACGACACAATGACCAAGGGGTCCATTCATCAAGAAGACACTATTATTAACCTATATGCACCCAATAGTGGTTGTTCAACTTAACAAACAAGCAGCATTCAACCAAAAGTGACATAGAACCTGATAAAATGATGCTGTGCCATTCAACAGTCAACCTCAGCAGTGGGTGGAGCATGCAAAAGTCAACAAATGCCCGAGCTGATGGCATGGCAGACCAAAGGATGTGTGTGCTGACAGACATTGACTGGGCATTCCAATAGCTGCAGCATACACAGTCTTTTCTACGGGACCTTGTGCTTTCTCTAGAATAGACCATATCAGAGGCTACAAAACAAGTCCTAACAAATTACAAAACCACTGAAATCTCACCCTGGTCATAGTGATGTGCATCCGGAAGCAAGAGCAAGTCAAACTTAGACATTCTAAAGTGCAGGGAGACTGAGCTGCAGATTTTATTTTTATTTTGCTACATGGTAGCAAGTTTCCTTACAGCACTGTCATACATACTTAGCTTTGGTTGAGCCTCCTCCCTCCCTCCCCTTCCCTTGCCCACTTAAACCATTCCACCCCCAGTATTGTACACTTCCATGTTCATGTCTACATGTTCAGTTACCCCCACGCTTCTTCTGAAAGCCTTACCACCACCCCCAGGTTCCCTTCCTATTTTCTCAAGCACCATATACATTCAGCCCCACAGAAGTGCATATATATAAAAACAAAAGGCTAGAATTCATATATAAGAGAGAACATGCAGTGTTTGTCTTTCTGAACCTGTGTGGCCTCACTTAATATGATACTTTCCGGTTCCATCCATTTTCCTTCAGATTTTCATCATTTCATTTTTCTTTATGACTGAGTATAATTCTGTTATGCATATGTACTGCATTTCATTGTCTTTAGTTGATGGACACCTAGAATGAGTGTCTATTTCCTTCCTATTTTAAATAGAGCATCAATGAATGTAGCTATATCAAAACAATATGCTTCAGTTGGTGGGATGGCTCAGTGGTAAAGGTGCTTCTGTGAGGGTCCAGCAGACTGAGTTTGAGCCCCAGATCCCACAGAGTGGCAGGAGAGAACTGACTCTTAAGAATTGTCCCCTAACCTCTACATGTACACCATGATGCATACATTTTTACACACAGAGAGAAACTTTTTTTTTTTTAAGTAAGCATTCGGTTCCTGAGGAAACCAGAGGTTGTAGAAGCATAATATAGCGGACAGAAACCCCTAGGGCACAACAGAGTGAAGTTCCTATCAGGAATGCCCACATCAGAAGATAGAAAACCTAAAAATAAACAATCTAATGATGTACCCCAAGGTCTCACAAAGGCAAGAACGAAGCACATTCCAAAATGGTAGAGGGAAAGAATGCTAACCAGGATGAAAGTGAAGCCAAGTCCGGGGCACAAGGCAAAGAGTCTGTGAGACCAGACAAGCCAAAGGCAAGCCTTATCTGCAAGAGCAGGTGAGGCAGGGGAGGGGACGGGAGAGAATGAGAATTAAAAGAAACTAAGTATAAGAATTTACTGGCATCAGGGGCACGGAGGTCCTTACATTCACAGACATGCACTGGGGGAACCTGGAATGCTAAGTACACAGGATTGTTCCTTCAAGGGAAGGAATGCAAAACCTGTTTTCCACCCAGAGGGCTGGAGCAGGCATGCTCTCTAGCCTGGTGACAATCTGTGTGGCCAGAGACTTTCGGGCACCAGGCCCTTCTCTAGACCTTTCTTGTAAATTTACTTTCTCGGTCAATCTATAGAACCCATCTCTATGGAGGGTGTCACACGTACCTCACAAAGAGTTTCAAAGTCGTCACACCTGATCTGTATTTAGTTAACTTTGTTCCTCAAAGAGATTTAGGTATGATTTGCTGTGAACGTGGGATTGAGTTAATCATCACAAGAATAGTTTTCACCAGGTTATGCTGTGTTTAAATGCCTCTAAAATAAACAACTTGGGGTCAGACTTCCAAAGTTTGAACCAACACTGGCTACTAGTCATGCTGTGCCCAACTGCCTTCTTGCCTCCCGTTGCATGTCACTCTGTTGCCTGCAAAGGTCACAGAGACCCTCGCATACTGTCATGTTCAATCACAGGGCTGAGCAGACAAGAGGAAAGGTTAGAAGCAGGAAAGACAGGTGAGCTGACTACTCCATTCTGAAAAGCAGGAACCAGGATGAAGGCAACGAGATGTGCCCAGCCTCAGTGGCCTGCAGGACACAGAGGGCACAACGACCCAGCTTAATAGGACCTCTAGCAGGACAGAGAGGAGAGCGATGAAGGAGTGGAAGAACACATGAAGAAAAATTAGAGAGATTCGTAGCAGGATGGAGGTTACCCAGGCTGCAGAGGAGCAGGTTAGCATTAGACAGGGACAGGATTTTTGTTTTTATTTTTTTTTTTACACAATGAAGGGACTGTGGGGCTGGATGGTCATGAGGGCTGCACACTGTGAGTGTGTGCAGTTCCATCTAAATGTCCCCTTTACAATTCAGATGGTAAAGCTGAGGTATATTCTATTCCAATAGAAAATAGTTGAAATATTTCCAGAAATAGCTGAAAACCTTCCTGAATATAATGGGATTCCTGGAACCTCATGTCTAAGAAGTCCAATGAACTCTAGAAAGAAAGAATCCAGATGTCACCAAGGAGACACACGGATGCAGTTACCACAAGACAACTAAGGTAGTTAGAAGCTCACTTGTCCCCCGAACCCAAGACCAGGAGGCAATGGGGTGGTGTGCTTAGAGGATAGGAAGGAAACTGCCTACTCAGAAGTCGACACTCAGCAAACTGTCCTTCACATGCAGAGGAGAGCTGGTACCTGAGTCCCAAACTACTTTGGAAGCTGAAGCAGGAAGATTGCAAGTTAAGAGGAAATATCTTAAAGGGCTGAGATCCCCTGATTCCATGCTCCGACATGGAATGCTTTCAGGGTACATGCAGGAGCCTAGGCTCAACCCTCAGTTACACAAAAGAAAAAAAATAAGGAAGGGTAAATTAAGATGTCTACCTTGTTAAGAGAGGCCATGGTTCAAAAACCTGCTTACAATAGCTGTTTTTTCATTCATGACAGAGAGGGCTCACAGTGGCATTCAAAGCTACAGGAAGAAAGGAGGTCTGTCTGTAACATCTGTCTACAACATCTGGTCTCCGGACTCCATGGAGTCTGCCCCTGACACGGGGTCCTTCCTTTGTCACCAGCCATAGTCCAGGGTTCTCTTCCAGTCCATCACGCTTGCATAATCTTGCAGCCGTGACCCTGTTTCCATGTGTGATTCAGTGTTTTAGAACTCCCTTTCCTTTAGTGGGGTTAAGCCTTGGCCAGTGTGGGTCTCCATTGCCGTGGTTCCCAAGGCTGTTTTTCCCCCCGTCTGAACTCTAATCTGTGTTTCCTGTGCACTGCTGGCTCTGGGTTCCATTTGCACTTCCTTTTCCTGGTTCCTTGAGGTGTGAGTTTAGATGACTGAGTTTCCCTCTCGACTGTTTTGGCCGCATCCCAGCTTGGGTTTGCTGTGTTTTCATTTTCATCCGCCTCTCGTACCTTCCAGCTTCTCCCCTGACTCCTTCACTATTTAGGTATGTCTTCTCTTTCTACAGATCGGTGAACTCTCCAGTTCTCTTTCTGTTCTGATGTCTATTTCTTTCCGTCATGGTCAGGGATGACGCCTCCTGTGATCTCAACTATTTCAAATTCATTGACACTCATTTGGCCCGAACTGTGAGCTGACCTGCAGGATGAGGAGAAGCCATTGCCGCCTTGTGTGTTCTGTGTGACTGTGCACCTCGCTCTCCCAGCCCTGTGTGCTGTGACGCATCCCTCACCTGCTCGTCCTTTTATTTCTTCTTTTAAAAATACTACAGTAACAATGGCTTGCTGACATTGCCAGCTGTCCTCTGTTGAGTTCTTCATCTATCTTGAGGCCTATATAATGACAACCATGTGGCTAAACAGAATCACATGACTGAGCTGTTCTGCCCGGAGGTCTCTGCCAAGGAGTTGGTGAAATGTTCAAACATGAGTGCAAGAATATTCATAGCCGATCGGCTCACAGTAGCACAAAGGTAAAGACAGACCGAGAGCCCATCCATTGACAAGAGAGAAGTGAAGTGTGGTGTAGCCACATAAGAGAATATAATTCAGCCATGAAGAAAGAATGGACTCCTGACTCAGCCGTGACTGGATAAATATGGAAACGGGATGTTCAATGGCTCAAACAAGACACCAGCCAGGATACCTCCATGGCTTCTGAGGCTTTGAAGGTTTTGAAGGCAGATGACTCGGATTTTTAAAAACGTGTTTCTAGCCCTATCTTCCGCTCTGGTCCTCTTCAGTTGCCTGTCTAACGGACAGTATCTGACCTCTGACCTCCAGAGAGAGGCTGAGGGTGAGGCTGGGGAACGGTGGAGAGTGAGGTCTGAAAGGCTCCATGCAAAGCCTTTCCAAACTAGGTCAAAGGAAAGGCTGGGAGTCCTCAGCTGAGGCCAGGGGTCTCAGTGAGCTGTGGCTATCACAATACTATAACACATCTCTGGGCTCTGACGCTGAGACCTGGAACACGGGCAGTGGTGTGTAGAAGTCCATGGGACAGAGCTTGTGTGTGAAGCCGCACCATGTATATGAGCAAGGAAGTCCACACTGTGTGGTATAGAAGCCCCACTCTGCACAGCCAGGCTTTTGAATTGCTGAGTTCTGCTCCCATGTTACTATGCACACACCTCTGTCCACTGCTTTCTGGGGCACAAGAACCTGGGATACCCAGTGAGTGCCCACTGTGCCCAGGCATCTGACAATATGGAGGACATTGAGAAGCAAAGGCTACGGGTGGGATGCTCTGGCCACAGTGCTGGTCTCAGACTCAGGAGAGACAACCCTGTGATGGGCTCATCACCTCTCTCTCCCAGCCACAGGCAGGCTGGACCACCCTCTGAGGACAAGGCTGGAGGATACAATAGTCTTGGTGCTCAACGCCATCACCAGGTAGCCTGGCAGGTGGCCACAAGGTAGAGGGCACAGGGTCAGCCCAGGAAGGCCATACTTCCCTCTAAATATGCCTATTCTTAGGGCAACCAGTCCAACAAGAGTTTATGACTGAGCTCCGCAGAGCACCCTCCAGACTGAACAACAAGGAAGAGGAAGGGCCCAGAGCCTCCTACAGCAAAACACGCCTGGGGGATAAAAGCCCAGAGCCCAGAGCACCTCACACACACTCACTCAACACTCACACAGTCACTCAACACACTCCCAGCTACCAGCTCCCAGCCAACCCCGCCATGGCCGCCTCCACCATGTCTGTCTGCTCCGACGCTTGTACTAACTCCTCCTGGCAGGTGGACGACTGCCCAGAGAGCTGCTGTGAGCCTACCTGCTGTGCCCCCAGCTGCTGCCAGTCCAGCTGCTGTGTGCCCAGTTGCTGCCAGCCCAGCTGCTGTGCCCCAGCCCCCTGCATTAATCTTGTCTGTACCCCAGTGAGCTATGTGTCCAGTCCCTGCTGCCAATCTTCCTGCAGCAGCTACTGCACACCCTCATGCTGCCAACAGTCTAGCTGCCAGCCCGCTTGCTGCACCTGCTCCCCCTGCCAGCCTTCCTGCTGTGTGCCAGTTTGTTGCAAGCCTGTCTGCTATGTGCCAGTCTGCTGTGGAACTTCCTCCTCATGCTGCCAGCAGTCTAGCTGTGAGCCCTCTTGCTGCACCTGCTCTCCCTGCCAGCCATCCTGCTGTGAACCCACATGCTGTGAGCCTTTGTGTTGTGAACCTGTCTGCTCTGGATCCTCCTCATGCTGCCAGCCATCCTGCTGTGTGCCTGTCTGCTGCACACCCATCTGTTCTGGAACCTCAGGCTGCCAGCCCTCATGCTGTCAATCCTCCTGTTGTGTGCCTGTCTGCTGCAAGCCTGTCTGCTGCACACCCATCTGCTCTGGATCCTCCTCATGCTGCCAGCAGTCTAGCTGCCAGCCCTCATGCTGTCAATCCTCCTGCTGTGTGCCTGTCTGCTGCAAGCCTGTCTGCTGCAAGCCCTGCTCCAGTGTGTCCCTGCTCTGCCGCCCTGTGTGCAGACCTGCCTGCTGTGTGCCCACCTCCTCCTGCTGTGCCTCCTCCTGCCAGCCCAGCTGCTGCAAGTCCTGCTCCAGCGTGTCCATGCTCTGCCACCCAGCCTGCTCCAGACAAGTCAGCTGTAGCCTCTCTTCTGGCCAGAAGTCCAGCTGCTGACCCCGAGTGCCCATCTGGGGTACTGTCCAGCACAGGCTGCTCTGCACTACTCTAACCATTCCCAGCCTCTAGCCTTGACCACAGAACATTAGCCATGGCCATCCAGAAGGTGGTTGGCTCCTGAGTCCTTCCCTGAGGCTGCCTGAATGGAGCCCCACTGCCTCCTTAGGCCCTAAGTCATGAGATTAGTCCCAACTCCAGCAGTCTTAGCCTTACCTGGGCTCTCACTGCATATATCCTGATAAGCCTGCCTTTGAGGCCTGCGAAGATAGTTCAGTGGTTAAGAGCACTTACGCTCTTGCAAAGGACCCGAGTCCTGTTCCCAGTGCACAGAGGGTGACTGACAACTGCCTGTAGGTTGTCATTCCTTTTCCAGGGCATTTGCTGCCCTCCTCTGACCTCTCTGGAGACCTGCACTCATCTGTACACACACACACACACACACACACACACACACACACACACACACTTAAAAAATAAATCTTTAAACTTGCCGCTGTCTCCTACCAACTTGTGTCTTGTGTGTGGTGTGGGGTGGATGGGCATGAAGGACCAGGCTTCGTGCAGCAAGTGGGTCCTAGCTCAAGGGTACACGATGGCTCTTCTCAGAGTAGCTCCTTGGTATCTGAGGTTAGGAATGTGGGGAAAAACGACTACCTGGTAGTCATAGAACCCTGAGCCATACCTGTCCTTCCCAACCCCACAGCTGCTTTTGAGTGCTGGAATCCACTTAGCATGACCCTCCTATCGGAAGCCACATCCCCAGCCTCCTCTTGGGGGACCAGCCCTTGATGGCAGTTGCTCATTCTGCCTCCAGCTTTCCTTGTAGCTCTACCCTCCCCAGGATCTACATAACCAGGGCTCTGGCTCCAGCCAGGACTCTGAAGCCCCAAGAATGCCAGCCTCCTGCAGTCTTCTGGGTGCCTCCTGCCAATCAACCCAGCCCTCCTGGATTCTAACACATTTCCTGCAGCCCTGCTGCCCTGCAGCCCTTCCAAGCAGCTGCCCCACACTGCGAAACTGATGTCCCTCCTTACTGCTTGGCATGCCAGACCCAACATCCCACCCTTACCAAGCGCAGGGACCTCATGAGTGGATGCTAGGTAGAGTGTGATGATTAATACCACCAACTTGACAAGATCTAGAGTCACCTTGGAAACGATCTGTCAATCAACGTATGTGGTGCCCCCTCCTCAAGCCAGAAGTCCAGCTGCTGATCCCCAGTCCTCATCAGGGATACTGTCCCCCACAGCCTGCTTCTCTACTACTCTAGTTTTTCCTGCCTTCTAGCCTTGACCACAGAGGACTATCCATTGGCCTCCATAGGCTCATGTATTTGAATGCTCAGTTCCCTAAGTGGTGGAACTGTTTGGGAAGGATTAGGAGGTGTGGCCATATTGGAAGAGGTGTGGCCATGTTGGAGAGGTGTGGCCATATTGGAGGAGGTGTGGCCATGTTGGAGGAGGTGTGGCCATGTGGGGGAGGTGTGGCCATGTTGGAGGAGGTGTGTCACTGTTGGTGGGCTTTGAGGTTTCAAAAGTCCAAGTCAGGCCCAATCTTGGTGGAGTGAGATGCAAGCTCTCAGCTCTTGTTCTAGTGCCATGCCTGCCTGCCTGCCGCTTTGCTCCCAGTCATGATGCTCACGGACTCACCCACTGAAACTGTAAGCAAGCCCCCAATAAAATGCTTTCTTTTATAAGTTGCCTTGGTCATGGTGCCTCTTCACAGCATAGAACAGTGACTAAAATAGCATGTCTGTGAGGGAGTTTTTAGATTGGGTTGACTGAGCTGGGACTACCCACCCTAAATGTGAGTGGCACCGTGGTCCTGGGCTGGATTAAAAGAAGAAAGCAAGCTGAGCACCAGCAGTTCTCTCTCTCTCTCTCTCTCTCTCTCTCTCTCTCTCCTTCTCTCTCCCCCCCCCTCCCTCTCTCTCCAGCAGTCCTCTCTCTCTTCTCTCTCCCTCTCTCTCCAGCAGTCCTCTCTCTCTCTCTCTCTCTCTCTCTCTCTCTCTCTCTCTCTCTCTCTCTCTCTTTCTCTCTCTGCTTCCTGGCTGTAGACACAGCTGACCAGCTACCTCACTCTCCTGCCACTGTGCCATCCCCACTACGACGGACTGTGTCCCCAGGAACCGTGAGCCACGCAAACCTTTTATTCTCTGAAGTTGCTTCCTGTGAGGTGTTTTGTTACAGCAACAAGAAGAATGAATAACACACTGTGTGACACTAATGGTGCCACCAGGCCCAGGTCCTCACACACAGGGTGCCACCAACGGTGCCACCAGACCCAGGTCCTCACACACAGGGTGCCACCAACGGTGCCACCAGACCCAGGTCCTCACACACAGGGTGACATCAATGGTGCCACCAGACCCAGGTCCTCACACACAGGGTGCCACCAGACTCAGGTCCTCACACACAGGGCTCCTGTGTTCAGGGAGCCACCTCCCTCCCTTCACTCAGAAGACTACCTGAGATAACCACCAGGGGCATCCCAGCACCAGAGACCAAATGTCACAATGTTGTCCACTTTCCTGAGGGGCAAATCTATGTGGCCATAGATAAGAGGTTCCAGAGGGCCATGATGGTCACATCCTGCTGTGGGTGTTGAGTAGCCAACAGTTAAGGCTCAACTTCCCTCAACATATATCTGTCCCTGTTTGGTGCCCAGTGGCCATGGGGTTGGCACAGAAGCCAGATAGGAGAGGACTCACTGTGACCTCTGTCTGCCACCCTCACCTCTGCATGCTGACACCCAAAACACAGGGCCTCACCTGCTTAGTGACCCTTGGTGTGCCAGCCAGGAAGTGTGTCCCCTGTCTCCTAGGAGCCTCCTTCCTTGTTGGAAGACAGCTTCCAAAGTTGTTAATCACAGGGTGACCCTGGAACTCTGCCAGCCCAGTCCAGCCCAGGCATCATCCTGGGAGAAATGAGAACATCCGTCCATCTAGAGCAGTGTGCACTGAGGTTTTGGCAGCAGGCAACAGGGAATTATTCAAGTGTCCATCAGCAGGAGAGTGGATAAATGTGTGGGGCTGTCCATACAGGAAACATCACACAGCCGTGGAGGAGCCAGCCAGGTGGAGTCACCTTGGAAGCACCATGCTTGATGAGACGGCATGAGGCCACGTGTGGAGTATGCATAACAGGGACTTCGGAGACGGGCAGCAGGTGCACAGACCAGTCAGACAAATACCCGGCACAGAGAGTCGAGGGGGCCAAGTCCTCTTGACTCATGGTTTCAAAGGGCCCAGCTCTCACCCTGTTCATTCTGAGTCTATGATAAGACAGAACGCCACACAACCCCAAGCACAGGGCCAAGGCTGCTTCCCTCATGGCCAGCAGGAAGCAGAAATGAGGAGGGGCAGGAAGAACCCTGGAAAGGCCCACATCCAGTGGCCTACTTCCTCTAACAAGGACAATGATCTAATGTTTTGTTCAGCTCCCCAACAGCACTACCACCTGGAGACCAGGCATTCAACACATGAACTTGTGGGGGACATTCTGTATGCAAACCACGACAGTGGATGTCAGAGGTGGGCCAGGGGTTGACAGAAAGGCCACTCAGGGACAAGGAGCTTGGGGTGAGCTAAGGCATATACCGATGACAGCCAAGTGCTGTGGGGATGTTCTGACACCCTTGGCCATGCCCTTCAAGCCATGGCTCCATGGCACCCTAAGCACTTCTCAGGAAAACCACCCATAGGAGCCGCAGGCCATCATTAGGTCCCTGTGGCTGATAGCCCTGTCCCTTCACCTTAACTAGGGCACTGTCTGAGAGCATAGAGCCCATGGCCACAGACACTTAAGGCTGAAGGCTAACTCTGAAGTTGAGCCTGATGGAAACAGGACAGCAAAGCCAGGTTCGAGCACAGAGGATGGCTGTGGGTACCTGGGATCTTTGGCTGACTGCGCCTATTCTTGAAGAAGAGCAATCAAGATAGATGTGGCCTCCAGCCCAGCAACGGACAAACAAGCCACCTCCCACTCAGTCCCCTGTAATGGGGTCACTTCAGAAATATGACCAAGTGACTGGGACCCTTGCCACAAACCTGGCCGTCAGCAAGAGACTTGGCCAAAGTTGGAGCAGATGACAACACACAGCCCAGGGACATACAGGAGCCAGGACAGCACCTTAAGACACTCGCAGGTGCCTGAAGCACTGGACAGGGCTAAGCACCAGGCTGAGGGTTTTCCAATGCCTTGGCACCTCCAAGGAAGCTAGACTCAGAAGATGAACAGGAACAGTTACAACAATGTGCCATAATAAAAATAATTGTAAAAACCTTCCTTGTTTATTTCTGCCATTTTTCCATTTTGTAGTTTTCGAACTTCTGGAAAGTGAAGCAGGTAGACACAGGAGGTTGTGGACTAAGAGCAGGATGCTATCCTAAAGAATGAGGATGGGGAGGGAGAAAGGGAAAAGGAAGGTATGAGGGAGGGAGGAAGACACCCAGAGTCCTGGAAACTAAAGCAGCAGCCTGCAGGTGAGGGTGCTTGCCAACAGGCGCATGGTGGATGGAGTATGTGATGCAGCTGATGTGGGGTGGGGGTGGGGGCGTTGCTGCTAAGATGCGGATCAGGAGAGCTGGAAACCAGAGTGGGGAAGGCAGGAGCCAGAATCATGGACAGGAGCACTCAGACTGTAAGATGAGAAGCTTCGTGACGCTGAAGGGATGCGTGAGACCAGAGCTGAGGAAAGCATCATGGTGCTGGGAGGGGGGCAGGGGGCAGGGAGGGGGGCTGGCCACAGACGTGGTACGAGGTTCTAGAAAGAGATGAGCTCACCAGAAGGGTAAACCAGTCAGGGCTACAGGGTGAGGCCAGCCTGGGCTACAGGAGCTACTGTCTAAAAAAAGAAAAGGAAGTTTCAGGTACACCCCTGCTGCTCCCGACACCCTGAGGGAACGCCCAGTCATGCCCTCTCTGCAAAGCTATAGGATGCCCAGATCTGCCACGGCGGCCTCAGAGATTGATCTACATGGGAGAGGGCAGATGTGTGAGTCAGGACCTCTGTCTAACCTAGCAGTGTCCACATGATTTTCATTTCATAGCGAGTTAAAAATGGCTGGTGTGACAGTCCTCACCTGAAACCCCAGGCCTGGGGAGGCTGGGACAAGGCCAGCCTTCACAATGAGATGCTACATAAGCACAGCCCCTGGGGGTGGGGGTGGGTAAAGTTGACTACTTAGAAGCTTACACTGCCGGGAACAGCAAGTACCACAGGTGGAAGAACACAGAAATTCGTTTACAACCAACTGCCTCCGAGAAGCGGCAGAATGAAGCACCGGCCCGAGGGGCCACGCACACACTGTGGAAATAAATGTTGAAGGAGGAAGGGATTCTAGTGGAGGCAGTGACAGGGGACCCCACATCAGAGGCCAGCCTGGGCTATAGAGGCCCTGACCCCCAACCCCAAAGTAGTAAATAAGTAACAGTGAGATATGGAGCTGGCCTTTTCAATGGACCAAGGGAGTTTTAAAGGGAAATCTAATGAAACAAACACATCAATGGGAGCAGGAGTGAGCGCGTGGGTTTGGGAGTTTTTAGTTTTAGGTAGACTAGGACAGCGTGGGACTGACACAATGAAGATTTTAGTCTGACTCTTCAGACGTGGGCTCGGGTGTTTTAAAGGGGTCTGCCACGGGAAGACCTTTCCCACAACACATATAACCTCCTGGAGCTGGGGTGAAGCCATGGGGCTTCAGAACTGTTCTATTAAGACTGCTGGATCCCTGGTGCTAAAATCAGCAGGGAGAAGTGGGCAGACGGACAGATGGACAGAGGGAAGAACTGAGGGAGAGAGCATGATGTAAAGTAAGAAACTCTGGGTAAAATGTCAGCAAATTCCATGTGCAAGCCGTTATGGACACTCCTTAAAGACTTCAGGTTACCCCGTGCCCCAGAAGTTCAGCTGTGGACACGTGGAAGAGACACGGATGCCCCCACCCCCATCCCCCACCCCCCACACACCTCAGGCACCGCAGCACAATTCACTGCAGCCAAGTGGTGGAGGAGCAGATGAATGGGGAAACAGGTTTAGTCTTTTACAAAGAGGAAGTGCCGCCATTTGTGACAACAGGCTGAGACCGGAGGATACTCCACAAAGTGAAATAATGCAGGCACAAACAGCCCCATCTCACTGCCGTGCAATGTCTAAAATGTCAGCTCACGAGGGGTGGACCCAGTGCCCAAGGGTCAAACAGCCTAGTGCTCTGATCTGGAAACTGATGGACACACTCTGTGTGGGGTCTAGCAGTCTGGGTAACCGAGGAGAGAGTTTGTAAACTCAAGGGGACTTTGCTGGAGTCACAGGGACATTCCATTCACATCCCAAGATGAAACCACGCTTCTGTGAAACTGAAGATTGAACGGCCATGAGAAGTTAAACACTGGCAACTCAGTATAAGGATGAAGTAATAGACTCTAGTGACAGAAGGCGTCTGGAAATAAAACCAGGTCGATCTTGCAGAGAAGTGTGCGCAGGGTAAAAGTGAGGAAATGGGAGGATCGAGACCCGCTGAAGGATCACACCAGAAGGAACGGTGTCTAGAGACACCAAGGGGAGAGCCAAGAAAGGAGAAACGGGTTGTAGGATAATCCTGAGATGAGATGTCACAGTGCAAGTCTCAACTGACCACAAAGCAACACACAGCCTGGAAACAGATACCATCATTCTAGAATAAGAAGGAAGAAAGAGAGCAACAGACAGAAGTTGAAAGACGGGGAAAACTGTCTGGAAACTCCAGTTGCCTCTGCTCAGGGACATGGGTACCAAGATAATAGGCATCGTCACCTGGGCTTCGAGGGACACTGGTTCAAACCCAGAATTTTGGTTGGATTGTTTTTTATTGTTGTTTGTTTGTTTGTTTGTTTTTTGAGACTGGGTTTCTCTGTGTAGCCTTGGCTGTCCTGGAACTCACTCTGTAGACTAGGCTAGCCTTGAGCTCACAGAGATCTGCCTGCCTCTGCCTCCCTAGTGCTGGGATTAAAGGCGTGTGCCACCACCACACAGCTCCAAATCCAGAATTCTATACCCAGCCAGACTATCCTGGCATGGGTGGGTAGGCAGGCAGGTCAGGAGCTTCTGAAGTGTGGCCACTGCACGATGTGGAGTCTCTGACCAAAAAGAAAACAAAAAAGACTCAGAGTCTCACCAGATATGCTGAGTGTCTTGGAGGACCAGGCACAGCTGAGGAAAGATGCCACCCTACCCAGCAAAATCTCCCTCACAATGTACACACAGGCTCCTGTCAACAAGCCTGTGTCTGAGTCAACTGTGCTGTATAAGACATGTATCTTGCTAACATTTGGAGAGGGAAAGGGGGTGGGAGAGCTGTTATTAAGCCCCCAGTGAGTTGTATTATGTAACGCGTGTTTTTTATTTTGCCTATGTCTTAAAATGTTTAAAGCAATAGTAATAACAATAATAATAATAATAGGTCCCAGTCACTCAAGCACAGGGTAACAACCCCAGAATCCAGCACCATGGAGCCCTGCTCACCTCCAAAACCTCTCAAGGGAAGCGGCCTCAAATGTTTTCCAGGCCTTCAGCAGAGTCGAAACAAAAACAAACACAGGTGAGGCATGCACACTGCAGATGACCAGCGCTAATGAGGGGCCCCAGCCAGCCAGTAAGCAGGAAGGAAGGCCTGAAGTTTCTCACCAGGACAACACCAGCCCAGGGCTATATAAAAGCTGGCAGCAGCCCCTCATACTCACACTCACACACTCACACTCTCACAGCTCCTACCAGACCTGCCCGCCATGGCCACCTCCACCATGTCCATCTGCTCCAGTGACCTGAGCTACGACAGCCGGGTCTGCCTGCCTGGTTCCTGTGATTCTTGTACTGACTCCTCCTGGCAGGTGGACGACTGCCCAGAGAGCTGCTGTGAGCCTACCTGCTGTGCCCCCAGCTGCTGCCAGTCCAGCTGCTGTGTGCCCAGCTGCTGTGCCCCAGCTTCCTGCCTGACCTTTGTCTGCACCCCAGTGAGCTGTGTGTCCAGCCCCTGCTGCCAATCTGCCTGCAGCAGCTGCTGCACACCCTCATGCTGCACCTCCTCACCTTGTTGTGTGACCCTTTGCTGCAAGCCTGTCTGCTGCACACCCATCTGCTCTGAATCCTCATGCTGCCAGCAGTCTAGCTGCCAGCCCTCATGCTGTCAGTCTACCTGCTGTGTGCCTGTCTGCTGCAAGCCTGTCTGCTGCACACCCATCTGCTCTGGATCCTCCTCATGCTGCCAGCAGTCTAGCTGCCAGCCCTCATGCTGTCAATCCTCCTGCTGTGTGCCTGTCTGCTGCAAGCCCGTCTGCTGCACACCCATCTGTTCTGGATCCTCCTCATGCTGCCAGCAGTCTAGCTGCCAGCCTTCATGCTGTCAATCTTCCTGCTGTGTGCCTGTCTGCTGCAAGCCTGTCTGCTGCACACCCATCTGTTCTGGATCCTCATGCTGCCAGCAGTCTAGCTGCCAGCCCTCATGCTGCCAATCTTCCTGCTGTGTGCCTGTCTGCTGCAAGCCTGTCTGCTGCAAGCCCTGCTCCAGCGTGTCCCTGCTCTGCCGCCCTGTGTGCAGACCTGCCTGCTGTGTGCCCACCTCCTCCTGCTGTGCCTCCTCCTGCCAGCCCAGCTGCTGCAAGCCCTGCTCCAGTGTGTCCCTGCTCTGCCGCCCTGCCTGCTCCCGCCAGACCTGCTGTGGCTTCTCCTCTGGCCAGAAGTCCAGCTGCTAACAGGCTGAATCTCTCAGTCTTCGCAGGCTACGTCTGCTTTTAAGCGATTCTCCACTCTCAGGAGCCCCTGGAAGCCGCCCCAGGGCCACCAGAGTCGTCTCACTTTGGATTGGAGGCTGCACAGCTGCTGCCTGATGGGGTTTGAAGGTGCCACCTGGCCCCTCCCCCTACAGTTCCCTCTGTGACACAGAGGGCAGCCCCAGAAGCCCATTCTCTTGACCATGCACTCACACCAAATGTGACAAGTCCACTGCTGTGTTCAATAAAGTGTTCATATCAGGAGCTGTGGGCTGGATGTGTGCATTTTCTGGAATGTCTGGGTATTCATATTCAGTCTATCATGGCCCTGGGTGCCTTGCCTAGCACAGAAAACACAGAAAGCCAAGTCAGGATACTGGGACAAAATCTAAGGCAGGTGCGTCTGTCTGATAGTCTCTCAACATGGTTATAGCCTGAGAACACATGCTGGGGGGCCGGCTGGTTCCAGGTCAGGAGGCCATGGTAAGAGGTTTCCACCCTGCCTGCCTCAGATCATGAGAGTGTAAGCTTCAGCCCCTACTGTGGCAACACTGGTCACATCAGAGCTTAAGGCCTGGCTGAGGAGGCAGGCAAAAAGACACCATGTGAACAGCCCCCCAGGATGGTGAGAAGGACAAGGCTGGGCTCCCAGTGGACCACTAACATTGGAGAGTCAGGTAAGCATCATTGAGATCAGCTAGGAAAGCTGGTAACAGGAGAAGACACTCTCCACAGGAAGAGTTGAGAAGTACCTCCAAGAGAAGGATCTCTGAACACAGTGGTGTTGGGATAATCTTTTTGTACACTGTATGAAAATGTATGTCTGTCCTTCCTCATCTGCCTAAGGCACCTTCTGAGTGGTTCACTAAAGAGCTGAATGGTCAATGGCTAGGCAGGAGAGGATAGGTGGGACTTCCGGGCAGAGATGGGAACTCAGGGAAAGAATCTGAGGTGGGAAGATTCCCAGCCAGATGCAGAGGAAGTCAAACATATGGTACTGAGGAGTGATAACAAGCCATGTAGTAGAACATAGACTAATATAAACGGGTTAATTTAAGAGCTAGTTGGGAACAAGCCTAAGCTAAGACCAAGCTTTCATAATTAATAAAAATCTCCACGTCATTACTCAGGAGTTGGCAGTCCAAAGAAAGTCCGACCATAGTGGGTCCAAATTTGAAGTCACATTGTTCCTGCTTGCTGAGTTTATTCATGCCCTGCATCCGATCACTTGGGTATTCAAATACTCCGAGGAGAATGGCCATCCCCTGGGTATAGGGAAGAAGGCCTCACGGCTGCACTGCTCAGTTTTCTGGTGCACAACAAAATGCCGGAGGGAATCAGAGTAGAGAGAGGAAAGGTTGGCTTGGGCTGACAGTTTCATCTGTGATCTGTCATTGCTCTGGGGCCTGTGGCAAGGCACGTGAGAATGGGAAGCAGGTGAGAGAGGAAGGAGCCAGTGTCCACAGGCCTCTTCAAGGCATACCCCCAATGACCCAACTTTCTCCTACAGCCCCATTTCTAAAGATTATACCAGCTCCCAGTGGCACCACAGGCTGGGGACCACTCCTATGCCTTCAGCACACAACCCTTGGACACATTCCAGCTCAAATGGCCATAAGGTCTCTCTCTCTCCCTCTCTCTCTCTCTCTCCATTTCTCCTCCTTCTCCTCTCCCTGTCCCTGAGATAGGGTTTTTCCCAGTGATTCCCGGATTGTGACCCTTACCCCACTCCCATTGAGTGCCCCCTCCCCACACTGGCAGTGTCATTGGGGAGATTGTAAGACCTCTAGTAGATGGGATCTAGCTGGGGGGTGGGCTGCCTCTGAAGGTGACACTTGATCCCTCCAGTTTGAGTCCTGTGAAAGACTAGCTCATGTCAAAGACTTTTCTGTAAGAGCCCAGGGACCCTATGTCCACACAGAGCTGCCCAGTGAAGTGTTCTTCAAGGTGGTTCTGGGAGGCCACACAGCCATGGTCCCAGGGGCCAGGCAGCCACCCCAGCTGGCAGCAACCTTGGTTTTGAGGTATTCAGAATTCAAAAGTCACAGTGGCCACACCTTTCATCCTAGCACTCAGGGGGCAGAGGCAAGTGGTGATTTTGAGGCCAGCCAGAGCTACACAGTGAGACCCTGTCTCCATGTCATGGAGGCTTCCACCGAGATTTCAAAGGAAAGTCTTGGAGGCCAAGGAACGTGCTGTGATCAGGGTCACTCTAGGCAGCCCCTGAGAAAGTGTGAAGCTGTGAGAGTTGAAGTGGCCATCTCCTCTTATAACAGGACTGACCCTAACAGGGCCAGTTGTTTTTTTATTTTTTTCCCAGGGACCAGTTTGCTAAGACCTCTGCCCCATATTACCCCACCATCCTATGTTGACTCATGTCTGGCTTCCGTCAGACCCTCAGGAAGTATGTCCAGTTTAATAGCCAATGAGGGTCCTACCCGACCATAAGCAGGAACTGTTCTTGCTATTTTCAATCAGACAGACCCTTGACACTGCAACCACACTTGCTGACCAGGTGTCATGAGTCAATTCTAAAATGATTCCTGTACCAGTAAAGGTCTATACCCAATCACTTCAAAGTACACTTAACCGCAGCTGGAATCCCCTAATCCTGCTTAAAAGGAGGCTGTGAGTTTCTCTCACGATCACCATTTGCTACTTGGTCAGAAGGTTTGACCCCAGCATGCTGGAATTTTTTTTATTAAACGCTCTTGTCGATTGCATACGTGACTGGTGGTCTTATAAGGGACTTCTCGTGAACCCTAACAATAGTAAAACCACAGGGGCAAGGAGGACCCTGGGTAGCTGGAGATGCCAAAAATGTGAAACTCCTGCTGAGGACAAGCCACAGGGCATGTAGGCTACAAACAGCATGGCTACAGAGGTGGGGATGCCCTAGCCCTTGCAGCTCACATCATGACTCAGCCTAGATGCCTGGCAGGGCTGCAGGAGACAGTGTCGCCCTGCTGGGTTTCAGTCCTGCTTTGGTCTGACTTTGCCAGCCCCTCATTCCTCCCTTGGAAGAGGAATACTTTCTCCATGCCGCTGCATATCAGAAGCATGTAACTCATTCCCTATTTTTACAGGAGCTATCTCAGACTAACCTAATGGAGGCTTTTGAACAAAGACGGAACTGTGAAGGCTGTGGGGATTTGAATGCACTTGAGTCATGAGACGCCTAGGGCAGAATGCTCCAACAAGAGTATGAAATATCACCCCCAGCCTCACACACTGACGGCTCAGCCCTCAGCTGGTGGTGCTAATAGGAGAGGGTATAAAAACTGCAGAAGGTAGGGGCTGGCTGGAGGGAAAGGGTCACTGGGGTGAAGTATGGCTTTAAAGCTTGTGTCGTCCCTGGTCCCTCCTCCAGCCTCTCTCTCTGATTCCTGCCTGTCTAGAGGTAAATGGCCTTGTCCTCTGCACATTCGTACCACCATGATGCTCTCCTCGCCACTAGTCCAGAATCAGCTGAGCCAAGGAAGGAACCAAAACCTTTCCAACCGTGAACTCAAATAAGCCTTTCCTCCATGAGGCTGATTCTGTCTGCACTCATGGTAGAAGGAGAAGCCAATTGAGAAGAGGGAGTCACTTTACATTGGGAGCTCACAAGGCTTGCAGTCCAAAGCTGGGCAGTGAGGGAGGCGTATGAGCCTGCTGCCATTGTCACTGGACTAGGGACAGTCACCACTTACAAAGTCAACCTCTGCAGCCTGGTAGCCAGAGACAACTCTCCCTGGGGTGTCTGGTAGGTGTCTGTAGGGTGAGGGAGTGACATGAAGTGTCACCGCTGGGTTCTGCTGAACAACAGGCTCCCTCAAGGTAATGACAACACATGCCAGGGCCTTTCCGTGGGATGTTGGGTGAGCAGGGTCCCAGGGAGGGTGTCCCCCCACCAGTCACATGCTTATAATACACAGAGCTCGTCACAGAAGTTCCTGAGTGACCGGCTGCCACAGACGAGCTGCACTGGTGCTGCCCTGTCCATAAACTCCCATTTCCCAACCTTCTGGGTTTCCAGTGTGCCAACAGCCTGCTCCCTGACACCAGCAGCAAGGGTTTGTCTTGACTACATTTACTGACTGGGAAGACTAGCCCACAGTTGGAGGTGCCATTCCCAGGGCTGTGTAAGTGGAGAAAGTAACTGGGCGGTGGCAGCATCCATCCTCTGCTTTCTCGGACCCACTGCTTCCTGCTCCTGCTCCCTCTGCTTCCCCACCATAACCCACTGAACCTTGAACTGTGAACCAAAATAAACCCATTCTCCCTTAAATCGCTCCTGTTGAGGGTTTTATCACAACTGAAGAGAAACCAAAACAGGCAGCTGACTTCATGGTAAGGGATGATGGCAAGTGTTTTAAACTTTTTTGGAACTACTTGGTCCTGCCATTGTGGTCTGAACAAACAAACCTTTTGTTCAGGTTTGTTTGACACATATGCACACAGGCATGCTGCTGTTGATAAAACTTTATTTACAAAGACAGGAAGTAGGCCAAATTTAGCTCATAGATCCTAGTTTCCCAGCCTCTGTGTTAAAGTTTTGCATTTTATGATGGAAAGTCAGAATAAATAATAGAAAGCCTTCATTGATAGTATGAGGTGAAAAAGAACAGGATCCTAAACTCAATCCAGCCATTGTCACTATGGGCTCAATAATGGCTCAAGAAACAGCAGCACAAAATGTATGTAAGCCAAACCAGAATATCCTGTTTATGGAAGGAAGGAGAAGTTGACCTCAAAACCAAAGCTGTTTATGGGGAGCATAACTCAGGAAGACGCACCCCAGAATAACAAGTCATTGAGGAACAAGTGATGGGAACATCACACAGAAGACCAGCTGCATTCTGGGTAGTTTGGACATAGGGTTGGGTATAAAAGCCACCCCAGGAAGAAGCTCCAGACATCTTCACCTTCCTCCAGACCAGCCAGTCTCCACCATGTGTCACACCAGCTGCTCCTCAGGCTGCCAGCCAGCCTGCTGTGTG